TAGAGTAGGTGATAGTCTAATAGATTGGGGTAGGGAGTTCCAGAGGATGGGTGACGCCCTGGAGAAGTCTTGGAGACGAGCATGGGAGGAGGAGATAAGGAAACTAGAGAGTAGGAGGTCTTGCGAGGAGCGGAGTGTACGGTTTGGGTGATATTTAGTAAATAAATCCCATAGTCTGCCCCAAAACTTTCATGTGAATGAAACCCAATGGCCGTCATTGACTGATTTGCTCAGACGCATGGTGAAATTCCAGCAGCAGTTGGAGGCTCCTAGATGATCCTGACTGATGCCATCATTCTGTATCATGTTTTCCACCCCTCTACATAGTAGAGCAGCAGGACACCGGATGAGCCCAACCCACCCCTGGCACATAGGACCAGAATAGACGTGGTGGAAGTCCTTGCACTGGGGTGATGAGTATTATTCCGATAGAACAGGCTATTTCTATTCTCTCCCTCCTGATTGTAGGACAGCTGCAGAATAATCCTCAACCCACACAAGTCTTTTCAGCTGTCACTGTGGGAGACATGATGGAGCTAACAAATGAACAGAATTAGACTTGCATGACTTGCTTTGGTGGGCTGTACTGATTGCTGGCACTCCTAGACCTCAGCGAGGACAATGCACGGTCCCTGTAGTCACTGACCCATATATTTCACAGCGACATTGCTTTACGATACGTTATTTGTTGTAAGGCAGGAAATGCTGTGAAGCATTAGATGCAGCATTTGTACTGATGACAGCAGAACATTTATCAGGTCGCTGTCCCTGTGGATGGATGGCTGTGCTGTGACGTGTGTAGCATGCTAAGAGATTACAGGAGGAGGATACTGTTTCCTGTAGAGAACCGGCAGAACTAGTTCAGCCACGTTTTAGCACCACATTGTCCTTGCACTTTACATTTTAAAGAGGACCTGCTGCTTTGGAAATGTCTTCATCTGGTTGACGCAGAGTATAAAATTTTGCACCCTGGTTCACATATATGCAGCCGTGCGGGCCGCGTTTTGCATGGGCATGAGAGCCCATTCATTTGAATGGACTCCTGTCCATTCCGCAATCTGGTGCCCGCTGTGTCCTCCGGACATAGTGAAACACCAATTGTCGGACGGGACCTCCGTGCGAGGTCCCGATCATGTGATCACTGATTAGCCAATCAGTGATCACATGCAGAGTAGTAAGCAAGATGTCACTTGTGACATCATTCCTTACTACGTGTGAAATATGTGAATAATCACAGAGGTCACATGGTACAAGGCTATTCACAACAGCCTTGTACCATGTGACAAGCTGTGACTAATCACAGCTCACTCAGTAGTTCTCAATGGCTGCAAGAATGCAGTGCAGACAGAGAGGAGAAATGATTGCTTATTCATCCTTTATGGGTATAAAAGCAATCAGTGTAAAAAAAAAAAAAAAAAATCTTCATCACCCCCCCACAAGTAGTAGTGTCACCATGGTGACACTGTACTGCTAGGGTGACAGTATGTAAAAAAAATAAATAATATAAAAAAAGTTTTAAAAAATTATAATTTTTGGTTAAAAACTAATTTGGGTTATTATTTTTTTTTTTACTAAAAATATAACGGAATAAATTTTGGCCACGATTTATGATGAAATAATATTTATTTGCAAAATTTTATAAGAAAAACACTTTTTTTTCAAAATTTTTGGACTTTTTAATTTACATAGCAAAAAAAATAAAAATCCCAGTGGTGAATAAATACCACCAAAATAAAGCTTTATCTGTCTCAAAAAAATGCCAAAATATTAATATGGGTACAGTGTTGCATGACTGCGCAATTGTCATTCAAAGTGTGATAGCACTGAAAGCTGAAAATTGGCCTGGACAGGAATGGGGTGAAAGTGTCCGGACAGGAAGTGGTTAATGTCATGTGGCTGCATCCCATTGTTCTATTGGTTGTTTGGCTTGGGAGCAAACTATTATGGGATGTATGTGTTTGTGTATTAGGTTAGTGGGGGGGGGGTGTCTCCAGCAGCCCATCCTCCTGATGGGACTGTCTCCTGGTGTGAAGTTTGAATACCTGTGTGTCTCTTGTTACTAAATGTAGATTTCCCCACCCTGTGTCATTATGCAGGGAGGGAGGATTGTCCCCTAAGTGTATATTATTATTATTATACAGTATTTATAAAGCGCCAATAGTTCGCTCAGCGCTGTACATTACAAAGGGGGACAGAACATGTGACAGAACAATAACAATACAATGCAGAACATGAGGGGATCGAGGGCCCTATATATCTTGTATCTGTGTTCAAATAAAGTAGTCTACTCTGGTTTACTTCAAGATTGGTGTCGTCTAGTCTTGTATGGTCGGCTGTGGTGTCTGTTGTTGTGTGGTGTTCGGACGGGGAAGCGGTATTCTAACGGAAGTACTCAAGCACAGTCTGGGTCGGTTCCGTTACACCTGGTCTTTAAGTGCTTCATCAAAAGGATAGGTGTTTGATGTCCTGCTGTTTAATAGCTAAGCAGTCACAGCCTAAGTAGAAAAGCCTGTCCCCTGCCAGCATACTGGAAAGTGGATAATATAGTGATCTCTCTGCAGAGGTCTAACACACTTATAGAGCGCAAAAAAATCTGAACGCATTGATGTGTAAAGGTCCTTTAACAGTCATGATCTCTAGCAGTCTGATGTAATGCGTCTCCAGTCTGACTGACTCCCATATTCAGAAAGTTGGCCACCATTTAGTCTCATGATCTCCGCTGAGGGTTAGCCTGTCTGAACACAGATTACACTTTATTCAGAGAAATCATGTGCCCAAATACAAAGGCTTTTGGTTGCATAATCAGAAATTTGGTGCGAGTGGGGAGGGGGGGTTGGGGTGGGGGGGACGCGAGTAGGGGGGACTGGCGGTGTGTATTATTCAGGTGCATATTTCTGCTCTTGTATTTCTCTTTATTTCATCCTCGGACGATGGGGATTCTGTGAGTGTAATTCTATATAAAGGTCACATATGGTCTAGTTTATTGAAATGAGTGGATGAAGAAATTTCTGCCCATATCAAGTAATCCTGTTCTCTCATTCTGCACTGACAAGGAGAATATGGTTGCCGAGGGCAACAGAAACATTTTTTTTTAATTCTGGCACATTGATCAATATAGCTTGTTGTATACTGTTGATGTAGATTTGTGCAATTTAGAATAATTGCTGTCAATATATTCAGAGCACTTTCCTTATTTCATAATGAAAAATTGCCCCAGGCATCGCTGACAGGATTGATCCTTTTATCCCCTGCGGTGTAATTATTTGCGGCATCTGATTGGAGGAGGCGGGTATTTATTTCCAGATAGTGAGCGATGAGCACAGAGATTACACATTGACACGACCCATTCCTGAGATATTCTGGTGATAAAACCTGTACACAGGAGATAATGACATGTTTGGCAGGGGGGGGTGAAGAGCAGATAGACATTATTTAACTAATATGGTATTTATTCTGTCAATCTTTAAACTGACGTTGGAAGGTAATGCCGCCCCATGCCATGTCACCTGCAGGAAGGCTGGCTGGGTTTTTAGGAGATGATGTTGGAAATGCAGAGATTTCTTTGGAGTGAATGGTTGGGTGGTCACAGGGACGCCATTTACCTGCACACATGCATGAAACATATTTCCAAACATGGAAATATGGCGTTTGGGAAACTATACACGCATGCGTGGGTAATCACTGAATCAAACAAGCATTGGCGTTTACAAGAGTATGACCAGGTATAGTCATTCCATCATATGGCCGGCTGTAAGGACAACCATGGCTCCCTGGGTGTGGGAAAGCAGCCAGATTTTTACGCCTAGCTTTTTCGCATGCCTCTCACTGTCCATGTGCAAAACGTATGCAGACTTATTATATTTCTTTTGCATATCAATATTACCAAATCACACTATTTTAGTAAAAAAGTATCTCCGGCTTCTCATAAAAAAAATCACTGTTCTCAGACTCCCTCATGTGACCTGTAAGGATCCATTTGACTTTAAATAAGCACCCTTGGATCCATTCACTCTGAGCTCTTTAAAATCCACCCAAAGGGGTCAGAAATGTTGATTTAGTGCATGTGTGTGAGAGAGACATCATTATGACCAGGTCGGTGTTTATGCTGCTTAGTTGGGGTTTAACTTAGGGGGTTCAGCCAGGGCCGTGGTTACGGGGGTCCAGGCCAGCAGAGGGCCCAGGCAGCTGGGTGAATCGAATGTGGGCAGGAAGGGTGATCAACACAACGGGGGTAATTACTGGAACTGATCCCCTGTGTGGCTCTCTCTGCAACAGCTGAAAGCTGGCGTCTTCTTCTCTCCCTCCCGCAGGCTGTCAGCTGCTGCAGAGAGACCCATACAGGGGATCGGTTCCAGTAATCCCATCACCCTCCCTGTGCACCATACATTTCCCCCCTGCTGCTCAGGCCCCCCTGTATGTCCCCGTCTCTGCAGTTCTGCCTCCTTCCCTCCTCTCCTTCCCACCGGCAACTGCAAGCACACATTTGGATCCTTCAGGATGGAGAGTGGGGGAAGGATCCGGTAAATATGTCACGTTTTTATCAGCTCTTTCTTTTCCTGAATGAACACAACGAGTACCAATTACTTACTGTGTTCATTCATAACTGAAGCATAGTAAACTGTTGTTTTTTTCCTCCGAAGAGGCCCTGTCAGGTTGGCTGTATTGGGCCCCATGGTTTCTAACAGCTGCCCTGGGTACAGCGTTCTGATTGAGCTGCCTGCCCATTCAAATGCAGGACAGGTGTCAGCACGGACCATGGGTTTAGTTGCTATGTCTATTGAATATGCCTAAAGGTAAACCCCATTTTAAACATCTCTCTGTTCTGTGCACCACGTATGGCTGTACTGTGCATTAATGTTCTCCCTTACCTCAATGCTGGCCTTTATTAAGAAAAAACATCAATTGTATGGAGAACACTTACCTTTCTTGCCGTTCTTTAATGACAAGCCAGCAGTGTATTGATAGTTTGTGTTTTTCTTTTGCAGTGCCCATCTGACATCATGTGGAATTGGTACTCTGGGGATGGGGTGCAGCCCTCTGCAGCAGTAAGTGAATATCTGTTAATTAAATCATGACTCAATGCAGAGTTAACATATCAAGGAATGTTTTTTTTAAAGGGCAGAGGGAGGGAACTGTGCTTAAAAAAATTTTTTAAAAAAAAATAAAAGTCAAATGACTAGTTGCTTATAGGCCCCCAAAATTTGTACTTTTTTTCCAATTGCTGACTTACCATGCCTGGTTGTCTGTGTGGTCATGGCCAACTTAGTGGAGGCAAGATTTTGCTTCCTGCCCTACTGATGACAGCTGGGGTAATATTTAAAAAAGCAGCAAGAGAGGCGCAGAAAGCACAGATCCACAGAATGAATGAAGCAAGGGAGATCCTTGCACTGCAGGTCCTCAGACACGGCTTTCCCTCTGGCAAAGAAAACTGTGAACAGCACAGTGGTTGTTTTCCCCCAAATCTTACTCCAAATCCAGTGAGGCCAGCTGTCGGAGGCAGTTGTGCATTAGATAGTTTCAGAATGCAGATAAACAGCTATTAGGTTACTGTACACGAGTGCCAAGAACAGTCACATTAGAAGTGCTCTGCTATTTTTCAGCAGGAATTTAAATGCAATAGATTAATTTTTCAGGGTATTGCTTAGACACAACTCAAGATTAGTAAGATGTCAAATCTTTACTACTTGAATTTAGGTCCTTTTCATTACTACTAACCAGGGGCAGACTGACAACTCATGGGGCCCCGGGCAATAGGGGATCATGGGGCCCCTGTGTCCTTGCCCAAACTGAAAAAAGCCTATGAAAAAGGTACCAGGGACATCTCATGGGGCCCCTTACTGACCGGGGCCCTCGGGCAGTGCCCGAGTTTCCAAATGGTCAGTCCGCCCCTGCTGCTAACCCATCTGATGGGTGACTGTATGGTAATATTGGCTACTGAATTGCTTGATTGAACAGTCAATGAACAGCAGCACACTGGTCATACCTGTCTTCTTCCTTTGTGCCATGCAATGGATTGATTCAGAGTATTGTCCCTTCTTTTTCTAATCTGAAAACTGCTTTGCAGAAGATTGTAGGAAACAAAGACAAATTCTGGTACAACAGCTCAACCATAAATAATTTTCTAAAGGAATACACAACTGGATTAATTTGTGGATTTAAAGGAGAAGTACAGCCAAAGCTCTTTTGGCTGTACTTCTGCTGCAGATCACAGGAATGCAGTTCTTTCTGCATTCCTGTGACCCGTCCTCAGCTGACAGTGGGCTGAAGTCACTCAAAGGGTCCAGGATGGGGTATGATCCTGGAGCGTGGGGGGGGGCAGAGCAGACAGTGGTGACTGACAGCAGCTGTGAGAACTCGGTGGTCAGCGCGTCGGTCGTGTGATCACGGAGCTCTCGCACTTAGAGCCGACGAGGGACAGATGCAGCATCGGACCGATGCTGCAACCACCTAGGTAAGTATAATTTGGAGAGAGAATAAAGCAAACTTTTCTTTTAAGTATTTGCTTGAAGTTTAGGTTTATGTAACCACTCGTCTACTGATCAGTTTACAGAGATAATGTTCCCATTGCATGCCTGATATCACCTTTTAGTATGCATTTCGGGTTATTACTCCACTATATTAAAGATGATTTCATGCTTTCTTCTAGTTTATTCTAATGTTATGCATGCCATATATACCAGTATTGATCACAGGCTTTGTCCAGTTTTGCTGCCCAAGAAAAAATGCTTTATTCAAATTAGTTGAATTAAATGTATTTCCAAAGTTGCTCTGGCTTATTTATTAAACGGTTAAAGTTCAGTACTCTATAGCTCTTAACTACCCATAAGAATTCACTTTGTAAACACTGAGTCTAGATGGATTTTGATTGGTTGCAACTGTGACTGCACTTTTCCTTGAAAAAGCCTGATTTGAATGAAGTTCTGACAAAACTTGTTTTTCTTGTTTTGTCCATGTGGTGTAGTTAAAGTAGAAACTCCAGGCAAAATACAAAAGATCCCCAAATAAACTTTAAGCTTTTCTCATTATACACGTAAGTATGCGATTTCTAATCTAGCCTCCGTTTCTACGTTTGTACTTTTTGATCCTGCCAGCACTGCTTGTGCTTCAATGTGACTTCATTTCCTGCACTGGGCTCACAACGCCACATTAGCATTTTTTGAATTTGCTGCGTTTTCAGCCCTCCAACCTCTTTCACCTTATTCAGCTATGTGGCAAATGTGATGTCATCATGTCACCATGCCCATCTTCAAAGGTGTTGTTGGCCAGCCCTCCAAGCCCCCTCTCTCCATTCAGCTGTGTAATGACATCATCACATCACCGCATCCGTCTTCACAACATTATTGATCAACCCTCCAACCTCTTCTCTCCATTCAGCTATGTGGTGATGTCATCCCATCATTGCGTCCATCTTTCCAAAGGTGTTGTCAGTCTGTCCTTCAAATCTTTTCTCCTTATTATGCTTTGTGGTGATATTATCCCATCTCTGCGTCCATCAGGTGTTGTCTGTCAGCAGACCGTTTACTTTCTGTTCCGCTGCTTCTCCTGTCCTCAGTGTCATAACACCCACATATTGCCTAGACAGGAGGAAGAGAGAGAAGGGTATCTACAGTCAAATCCATAAATATTGGGACATCGACTCAATTCTAACATTTTTGGCTCTATATACCACCACAATGAATTTGAAATGATTCCTGTTTTTGAGGCTCACCAATGGTTTACATCTTGTGGTGAACCCTCTGTATTCACTCTGGTGAAGTCTTCTCTTGATTGTTGACTTTGACACACATACACCTACCTCCTGGAGAGTGTTCTCGATCTGGCCAAATGTTGTGAAGGGTGTTTTCTTCACCAGGGAAAGAATTCTTCGGTCATCCACCACGGTTGTTTTCCGTGGTCTTCCGGGTCTTTTGATGTTGCTGAGCTCACCGGTGCGTTCCTTCTTTTTAAGAATGTTCCAAACAGTTGTTTTGGCCACGCCTAATGTTTTTGCTATCTCTCTGATGGGTTTGTTTTGTTTTTTCAGCCTAATGATTGCTTGCTTCACTGATAATGACAGCTCTTTGGATGTCATCTTGAGAGTTGACAGCAACAGATTCCAAATGCAAATAGCACACTTGAAATGAACTCTGGACCTTTTATCTGCTCATTGTAATTGGGATAATGAGGGAATAACACACACACCTGGCCATGGAACAGCTGAGAAGCCAATTGTCCCATTACTTTTGGTCCCTTAACAAGTGAGAGGCACATATGCAAACTGTTGTAATTCCTACACCGTTCACCTGATTTGGATGTAAATACCCTCAAATTAAAGCTGACAGTCTGCAGTTAAAGCACATCTTGTTCGTTTCATTTCAAATCCATTGTGGTGGTGTATAGAGCCAAAAATGTTAGAATTGTGTCGATGTCCCAATATTTATGGACCTAACTGTACAGTCATGTAAACTGGATTAACAAAAATTAAAGGTTTTACAAGTGTTGGATATATATAAAGGGTCCAGTAATAATGAAGATCTTGGTCATTTTATTCTTTTAGTAGACTTTGTGGATGCTTGCCTTCTGCTTTTACTGCAGGAGAAATATGTAACTAATCTCTGCTTACCTTCTGTTTGTAGGGCTCTGACAATCCCAGTGCTGGCAACATGTCAGTGGCAGATCTAACGGAGCAGCTGGCACAGACTCAGCAGCTGGTGGTACAGCTGAAAGATCTGATCAGAGAGAAAGACAATGACCTGCGCAAGAAGGATCAGCAGCTCAAGGTCTGTTCTTACAGTAGTAATAACTGTGGAAGGAAAGGGTTTGTAAGCAGAATATTTTGCTTATGTGCAGCTTGTTTATGTGACATTTTTGCAGCAGTGTGTGTAATGAGTACATATGACTGTGCAGCCAGTATAATCTCAGACAGCTTGCAGGCTGAATATATATTGACAAAATAATCTGTATACTAGAGGACGATCGTTTAGGATACTTGTTTGAAATGCCTGGAAGAAAATTATGATGTGACAAAGCTTGTGTCTTAGTGATCATGTACACGGGGCGTTTGGAAAACTCTTCTGAACGATGGAAACTGACTGCTGGAAAACATAGTTAAAAAACATCAGTTTATCCGTGTTTGCATACCGCGTTTTAGAAGCGTTTCTAAAAGATAGCCTCAGGAGACCTTCCCAAATGCCCAGAATGCACTGCAAAATAGTAAAAAAAGAACTATTTGAGACATTTTGAGAGGAATAGAGAGAGCAGAAGCAGAGAGAGCAGTATGTGTTGAGATGACCTGTCTTTTCTGGTTGTATTCACTATGGATCCCATCATGAGCATAATGCAGCACATTCTACCATTTTTTTTCCTTCACTCGAAACCTGGAGCTGACTGCGCTGGTGTACCGGGTTCATTTGAATACATGAAAAACGCTTTGCATGCATTTCTGATGATGAAAAAAGGCTCTGGACAGCATCTGGATATGGAACAGTTAAAAAACGCTTCTAAATGCGGTTAAGAGCGTTTACAAGCGCTTACCTGCATTTACAAGCGTTTGGCATTTGAAACGCTCATAAAAACTACTGTAAACTCAACTGCCTGTAAACGACTGTGTGTACACGGACACATAGGAAAACAGGGAGAGTTTAGGGGCTGCTGAAAAAAACGCCGAACAGCTCCTGAATGTCAGTTTAGGATCTGCAGTGTACATGAGCCCTTATACTCAGCCACTTCCGATTCAGCAGCGAATGATCTTTGTCCTAAATCTTAGCTCGCTGATCTGCTAACTTCTTCATTTTAATCTGTAGTTTAAATGCACAGTCTGCCTTTTGCAAAAAAATTTATTAAATGCACCCACAATCATAAAATAAAAATGTACATTTATTACATTTTTGCATGAAAGCCTGCACAGCATTGCAACAGTGATCTATGCAGTGCACAAACTCTTCCCCAGCCCCAGGTTCATATGGAGGTGTACAGACCTTCTGTTATGGGGCTGGAGGAAGTAAACATCACTGCCCTTGAGCTCCATTGAGATCTATGACTCCCTCTGCCTTAGTGGCAGATGGGACTTGTAGTCATTGCACAGATCCCTGTGAATGAATGACACGGCTGCGGACAGAGTCATAGGACACCTCTGAGGAAAAGCATTCCATGATTCATGTAAGTGGGTGTGTGCTGCTGGGGATTATGAACAAGTTTCACCCTAAATATGGGTGTAACATGAAACATAGCAAGACCTCATGCACACTGGCTTATTGTAAACTCTATTTCTCCTGACCGGAGAAAATCAGCCTTAAAGCTCACCTAAGCTGCATTTTTTCAAAACAGTTTAGGTGAGTTTAGCAGCATTTGGTATTATTTCATTGGCCAGAATTTTAATTTATTCTGGCCATAAAATTGAAGTTCTAAAAACGCTCAGCACTTGGGTGCATTTAAGCGCGTTCAGCTGCATTTGGTGTTTTTTATGCCCAAAAGCTCCTCACCTGAACTCAGTTTTTCTATGTTCAGAAGAAGGCGCTTTGATTGCCTTTAAACTCTGCTGCTCGTAAATTCCTCTAAAAGCCTATGAGTGTATAGACACATAGGCTTTCAGAGTGGTGTGTTCAAGGGCTTAGGCAAAAATATGGCAAAAGCTCCAAAAAAAAACCCATCAGTTTAGGAGCAGCAGCGTGCACCTAACAAAGGTAGACTATGACTTTAAAGTAGATGTAAACCCTAACTGGACGACCAGTTTTTCTAAACTGGTGTGTTCAATAAACCGTTTTCCATGTTTTTCCCTGTAAATGTCAGTTTGTGTTATATTATTTTGTATCTCTGTGCTCCTGATCTTCTCCAAGCTGTTTATGATTCACATTGCTCCTGTGTTGTCTTCTCATCATTGCTCATGTTCACTTTACTGATTATTATTATTATTATACAGGATTTATATAGCGCCAACAGTTTGCTCAGCACTTTAAAATATAATGGGAGACAATACAGCAACAATACAGTGCAATACAAGAGGGATAGGAGGGCCCTGCTCCTCGGAGCTTACAATCTAAGACAAACATTGGACTGTGCCTGCTCAATGTGTGTTATCGTGGTTACTTGAAGGCTCTATGGGGAGTGCTATAACTTAAATCAAGGAATGCGCTAAAACCACAAACTATTCCTAATTTAGTGTAGAAACATTAGTGCAAAAGATATATATATCTATTATCAATTAATATCAAAAAATATCAAAATTATGTGCAAAACATAAGTAATTTAAATAATTAAATTTGTGAATATAAAAAAAAACAAAAATGTCCAATTCTGAATTTCTTCAAATGTCCAAATAAATCCTTTCCAAATTCAGGTGCTCTCAAAGAAATTGTGCCAAAATCCACCACCAAAAGTAAAGTTGGGTAACTCACCAGAGCTCCATGCTGATCAATCTCTAGATCAGCAAAAAAACGCTTTTTGCTCTGGGAGCAGATGCAATGAATCAACTTCTCAGGTGTGATGATCAATAGCTACACAGTATTCTTCATCCATAAGGTAGGTATCCACCACTCAATATAATGGTTCCAGGAGCATTATATCACTCTCTCTTTTTATATCTCTCCACCGAGGTCATGTTTGGGAATGAAAGAGAAAAATCATGGTGCAGCCAGTTTTTTTATAAAAGTATCCAACAATTTAATAAAGATTTACACTCACAAAAAGGGTGTCTTCACCGACACCAGTATAACAGCATAAAACAGCAAATGGTATAACAGTCTCCTGTTCCCCGTACACTCACTACAGCGCTCGTGACTTAATTTTCTCCACAAACGTCAGCATCCAGTAAGGGGCTTACTGGATGCTGACGTTTGTGGAGAAAATTAAGTCACGAGCGCTGTAGTGAGTGTACGGGGAACAGGAGACTGTTATACCATTTGCTGTTTTATGCTGTTATACTGGTGTCGGTGAAGACACCCTTTTTGTGAGTGTAAATCTTTATTAAATTGTTGGATGCTTTTATAAAAAAACTGGCTGCACCATGATTTTTCTCTTTCATTCCCAAACATGACCTCGGTGGAGAGATATAAAAAGAGAGAGTGATATAATGCTCCTGGAACCATTATATTGAGTGGTGGATACCTACCTTATGGATGAATGTGTAGCTATTGATCATCACACATGAGAAGTTGATTCATTGCATCTGCTCCCAGAGCAAAAAGCGTTTTTTGCTGATCTAGAGATTGATCAGCATGGAGCTCTGGTGAGTTACCCAACTTTACTTTTGGTGGTGGATTTTGGCACAATTTCTTTGAGAGCACCTGAATTTGGAAAGGATTTATTTGGACATTTGAAGAAATTCAGAATTGGACATTTTTGTTTTTTTTATATTCACAAATTTAATTATTTAAATTACTTATGTTTTGCACATAATTTTGATATTTTTTGATATTAATTGATAATAGATATATATATCTTTTGCACTAATGTTTCTACACTAAATTAGGAATAGTTTGTGGTTTTAGCGCATTCCTTGATTTAAGTTATAGCACTAAGAAATTTATTTGGTTTCTTTGAGGTGGAATTGCTGCTTTAAAGTATTAAGGGTGTGGCGCTTTTATTACACTTGTGATAGTCTATGGGGAGTGCACATGAAAGGGTGACAACACTAGAGCACAATTAGGAAAGCGTGTCGCCCCCCATAAATAGAAGTAAATGAACAATGACCTTCATGGTAAGATCTCAAGGTGTTAATTTAAAGGGTTAGTTCACCTTTACCAAAATAAACTGCCTGTGCAGGTAGGAGGTATCTGTAGATAAAAACAAACTGCAGCTTTGACCAAAGTTGAAGAATTCCCTTCCTATAGGTGTAGGCAATGTACGTATCTTTTATGAAGCCTGACCTGAAAACTCCCAGGACATGGCTAAGGAAGGACCAGCTATTAGTGCTCACCTTCACCAGGAGCGAGCTCTTAAACTGTGATCTCAGAGATACTGCATCAGGGGAAAGCATGTGAGGAAGTTTGAATCAGAGAAAAAGCTCCTCCTGTGATGGGGTTGGTGAGCAGTAATGACTAGGCCTGGCTTAGCAACATCCTGGGAGTATTCCAGTCAGGCGTCAGGAGGTATGTAAAGGCCTACACCTATAACAAGGACATTATTCAATTTTTGTCAAAGCTACCCAGCTTGTTTCCATTTACAGATATCTTATATCTGCATACGCAGTTTTCAGGAAAAGTGAACTATGCCTGTAATGAATGCTGATGTTGAGTGGAGATTCTTACTCTCCATCAGAGGCATGGGAGACAGGGTAACAATGCTGGCGCATAACTGGGGGACAGTTATCACCCCATAAAAGGTGGCACCTGACTGTGGCAAAATCACCAGTTATTAGTTCAATAAAAGTTGTAGATTAAAAAAAAGGATATTACCAACTACTCTTCAGGTGCTAGTAACATTATTCATCTGGACAATGTGAATGAGGAGTCCCCTCTGTGGACGTCATCTTCCTCATGTATTTAATCCATTCTATCTATCTATTTTTCTATCTATCTATCCAGTCGTAACCGACCCTTGGCGATTGCATGGACCGTCACTCACAAGCGACTTTTTTCCATGAATTCTCTTAGCAATTATTTTTACAGGGTAGGTTGTCAGGTCTTTCCCCAACCCCTAATATGCAGGAGATCCCGCATGGCCAGGGATGAAACTAGGATAATTTAGACAAGAGCCAATTAACCTACCAACATGTCTTTGGAGTGTGGGAGGAAACCGGAATACCCGGAGGAAACCCACGCAAGCACAGGGAGAACATGCAAACTCCATGCAGGAGGCGCCATGGTCGGGAATCGATCCCCTGACCCATTTACTGCACAGCAGACGCGCTAACCACTAAGCCACTGAGCCGCCCATTTAACCCATTAAGGTAGACATAATCATAAACCACTAAGGTTAAAGGATAAGTTCAACTTTAGGAGCATGTTACATGTTACACCCAACATGTAACATGCTTCTATGCACCCACCTTCCGCCACCAGCTCTCCTCTCTCTTTGGCAGCAGGCTGGGATCTTCTCCCCGCACCCGCTGTCACAATTTGAAAGCAACACGGCCATGTGGGGCTCTGCTCACGCAACTTCCTTGACTACAAGCACCGTCAGCCACTGCTGCTAATGGCTTGTAGTCCTTGGTTTACTGTGAGGATGCTGGTGAGCCTTTAAGTGCAGCCTCTTGGGTGAACCACATCTGAAGAGGTCCCAGCTGTTCATGTTTTTAGAGAAGTTTACTAGTGTTTGCATTTGCTTTGGAGTGTTCTGATCTATTCCTTTTGGCTTTATGTAGTCCCTGGAGAGTAGAAATAGCCCCTGCTGTCATTCAGAACCAAATCTTCCATGAGGGTGACCCGATTTAGTGTTTGGGAACAGCATACTGTATAAAACAAATATTTACCAAAATTTTGATTTCTTTTAGGTCAAGATAGGGTGAATTTTTTTTTTTTTTTTTTTTGTAGTATACAAAATGAATTTATGTAACAAGCTTTAGTTTTTATACAATAAAAATCAACTAGGTATCAAGTTCAGTTTTAAGGAGAATTATTGAAGAAAGCCTGCATTGTGTCTGCTTTCCAATGGATTTAAAGTTCTGGGGTATCTGCTGTTATGTGCTCCAGTACATGTAAGTACACAAGAAATAAAAATATATTGGAACGCAGACACAATGCTAGGCTGGTAATGATATCAAGCTTTGAACTTGTGTTGCTTGTTAGCTGTGTTTTGTTCAAACTGCATACCACAGTGACAGGTTCACTTCACGGTCATGTGATAATGCTATGCAGGAGGAAAAAGAATCTTCAGAATCCAAGGTCTCGAAAGCCAAACTCCAGAGCAAAGCCAAGATTGCATCATTAACTTCTCAACTAGAAGAGCTGAAGAAGCAGCTGGCTTCACCCGGGGCCCAAGGAAAGAAATCTGAGAACAAAAAGGTAAGTGTTTACCTAGAGCTTTCCAAGTTCTGCTAAGGTATTTAACTGCTTCTCTGACCAGGAATTGCAGGGAGCAGGATGGGACCTGTGTGAAATGGTAAAGTGGTTGTAAACCCTTAAAGTGGTTCTGAAGGTAAAAAGCCACCTGTGTGCAGCATCCCCTCCCCAGCCCTCCATAATAATCACCTAAGTCCCCTCTCGATGTGCACTGGAGTCTAGGCTATCCTGGGACTCCCTCTTCTCATTGACTGGGATAGAAGCAGGAGCGGGATGACAGTCCCCTCTCGATCCAGCGATGTGCACTGGAGTCTAGGCTATCCTGGGACTCCCTCTTCTCATTGGCTGGGATAGAAGCAGGAGCGCGATGATGACAGTCAGCTGATGAGAAGAGAGAGAGGGCGGAGTTGAGCTGCAGCTGTGTGTGTGTGAATGAACACATGGAGCAGCAAGTGTCCCCATAGCAAGCTGCTTGCTGTGGGGCACCCAACAGGAGGGAGGGCACAGGAGAGCCTACAGGGGGTCTGAGAAGAGGAGGATCCAGGCTGCTCTGTTCAAAACCACAGCAGGTAAGTATAGACATGGTTTGTTATTTTTTTTTCTTAAAAAACCTTTAGAATCACTTTTAAATATACCCAGTGAGGTGACTAGCCTCAGGTGATACACAGAGATGAAAAAAATCCTCCTACATAAGTTGTATCTGTCTATGCTCAGTCTTCTCTATGTCTGTTCAAAGTGATGAATTTATAAAGCCTGTCTGAGAGTTCAGAAAGCAGGGGGTGGAGAGCTGAAATTATGTATTGCAGAGCTCAATGAGGAGAGCTCTGAGAGCAGATTGGAGGGAAGAGGCACCCCCCCCCCCCCCCCCCCTTCAAATAGCTCACGGGAACATTTTCTTTTGAAGCCAGGAAGACTTGTCAGAAGTAATTCATACTGATAGCAGAGAAACAAAGTTAACAAATTCCTGGCGACGGCATCTTCAGTGCGGGCACCCGGCTGTGACAGTTTGCGGCTTCACATCCGGTTGCCCACTGCGCATGCGCGAATAGTGCTGAGCTTTGTGAATGGCTCTGTAGTCTTCTGGGTCCTAAATAAACAAGAATTACGGTATTCCTCCTATATAAAAATACCCTAGATGCACAAAAACACTTTAACCCCAAAAAGTGTATACATCAAGTTATATAAAGTGCTAATAAACAACAGATAAATAAACCATAAACTATAAAAATAAAAATAATAATAAAAAAAAAAATAAAAAAAAAAAATGTCCAAAAACTTAAAAGTCCTCCTAATAGCAATCAGCAGAGTGGTATTCCAGCACAGTGATGGTCCCCATTATTCGTGGAGATCGAACCTCAAAAAAAGAGAGAACTCACATAGTGTAATACCTTAGATGCATAGAATGAAGCAAGCATCACTGCAAACGCATGTGAATCACACTGAACCACACGCATGTGAACCACACTAAACCACACATGGTGAAACAGAGTGAGTATAAGTGTGAAAACATGAATAACACTTGCATGCAGTGTCAAACCGTGAGAGTGTCCACATCTAATGGCTAATGTACCATTACCAGAAATGCAGCAAAAACCAGCATATAGATCCCATTCAGAAGATCACTTTTATAGATTCAACCATTGGAACATCGATTCCTCCTCTAAATATCCATCCACTTATTGCCACCAGCCAGGCTGCAGTAGTGAGATCCCTCAAGATATATTCCACAATGTCCCTCTCAAACGCTTAATCCAGGATAATACCGCCAGAACTCAACCATACAGCTTTCTTCATAAAAGCAAACTTTAATAAAGATAGTTCATATAGAACATACATACATAAAATCAGCACAGCCAAACCCTCTGTAGATCTTCAGGAACGCTCTCCCTGTAATTGTGTGAGCGGATTCCAAGATTAAAGATGGCCACCGGATGACTTCTGGTTGTGCTGTGCATCGTGACGTCACTTCCCTTTGACGCGTTTCGTCACCTGACTTAATCATAAAGTCTTCTGGGTCCTGGCACGTGTCCCAGAAGACTACGGGGAGGGACAGCTTCCACTTCTGATCTGATAGGCGACCACAGCAGAATTGTAAGCGGGTACCTGTCAAATTTGGGTACCCGCTCCCCAAAGTTGCCAGTCCTTAATGGGAAGCAGGGGACAAAGCATTAAAGTGAAACTTCCCCTTTTGGGTGGAACTCTGCTTTAATGTCTGAGATTTACAACCAACAACCACATTAAGTGGATTAAAGGGCTACATAAACCAGCTGATCCAATGGTACCTCTAGCATTGCTTTTTCAGCATCTTATTTCAATATATTTTTAAAATGTGCTGTGTAAATGATTTTTTTCTTCATACTTATCTCCGGGCACAGGACAGCTAACCCCGTTTCTGTCCCCTTCTCCCTGAGCGTTGGGTGTGGACTTTCAGGGAATGATGTCATAGGAAAAAATGACTTACTGCTGCAGCACTGGTGCATTAGACTTACTACCAGCTGCCAAAATCCAAAGGGGAGAAGCTGTAGGGGCTGGTCTTCACTTGGCACTGTCAGTGCTTCTGTGCATTTGCATTGGAAGAAGCACTAACGTATTCATAAACAACTGCAGCACGGTGCAGGGCCAACAACACAGAGACGATTTCAGTGGGAGCCAAAATTAAAAAGAAAAAGTGTGTATGTATATGTATGTGTGTGTGTGTGTGTGTGTGTGTGTGTGTGTGTATATATATATATATATATATATATATATATATATATATATCTCCATTTATTTATTTTTAAGAGTTTTTGAATAAAAACAAGACATAAAACCTAAAACTTCCTTTGCAGAATATGTACAATAATAAAAGAAATGGAGTGATACAAGGTAGACAATTCAGATCATAATGTATTTTGTCACTTTGTAGTGTACAATAGGTAATGATTGGTACCAAGAGAGAAAATGAGAAGAGCTTCAGACAATGAACCAATAAACTGTAGAACTAAGAGTGAACATGATCTGTGTCATTCATCATCAATCAGTCTGAGGAAGCATTAAATGGTACCAGGAGGAGGATTAGAAGCTTGCTCTGTAGGCTCAGGAAAATTGGAAAACCAATTTACGTTGAGGATGTGATTGGTAAAGAATGTGCCTCTATATAATTATAATCAATACAGCCAAGCTACCACTCTGTGTAATGAAAGGAAACCTATAAAGAACAAGAACATGAACCTGAAAGTGTCCTGGTAGGAGGCGAGCCCACTGGTCAACAGTATTGATGCCTTCAGCACATCCCTGTGGTCTAGCAATCTGAAAAACAAGGGTATAAATGCACTGAGCCTCCAACTGACTTACCTGTCTAAGGCTCTTTGCTAGTGGAGATAAGATGGCATCTGGGCTAGATAGCATAGCATCTGCTCCTGAAGTATAATACATCCAGTTATCCCATATCTTGCTAAAGCGTTGATGTTTATCCCCACAGATGGCTATCTAGTCCTCCGTATCCATTATATCAGCTACTTTCTTAATCCATTCCAAGCTCCTACTAGGGAATTGCATCCTTTTCCAATAAATTGTTATAAGGTGTTTTTAGATGTGTTAAGTAGATGTGGTAGGGAGCCAGGAGTTTTAATGTTTTTCAGAAAGCATTATCTTCTCTCCTCTGGAAATATTACACACAATCGGAACCTGTCAGGATCAACAAATAATTGCAGAGGAGGATATGAAAGAGGCAAAATATGCCCATTATATCAGTTTTTTTTGAGTGTTGACTATGAATTTTTTATTTTCACCAAGGAAACATTTTAAATTAAAGATCCCTTCTTATATTTTATAGGCGTCTAACAATTTGTTTTGTCCCAGGGTCCTGGAGAAGGAGAACAGGAGAATGCCTCTGCAAATCGAGGGAAGATTCTAGTGTTGCGAAAACGAGTGGAAGAACTAGAATCTCAATTGGCCGCAAAAAATGAAGAACTCAAAAAAAAGGTTTCTGTGCCAATTCTTGGTATAAAAATGCCAGTGTTATTTTTTTTTATTGAAAAGTTTAGCATGGTATACATCATACAAAACATTGGAATTGAGCTGCTCGTCGCCAACCACGGCTAGCAACGTAAAAACATAAAAGAGAAAATAAATGATAAAAAAGAGTAACCATGCTTGCAGATGTCCAATAAGTACCCATAGTAGGGTGGGCATACAAAATACAATATAAGAGCACCTCGCCATGTTCCACCGTACAGAGTTACATCAAGGGAGCTATTCACACTCTAGTACACAGCACAGAGGTAAACTTTAGGCTAGTAACGTAACAATCAATTCCAATACACAGCAAGTATCATTGCAAAGAGACCCCAATAGGAGAAAAACTTGTTGGAATACAGTTAGGTCCATATATATTTGGACACAGGCACAATTGTAGTTTTTTCAGGTATTTACCAAAACATATTCAAGCTATAGTTATATAATGGATATGGGGTGAAAGTGCAAACTCTCAGGTTTAATTTGAGGGTATGTACATCCAAACTGGAGGAATGGTTTAGGAATTACAGCTCTTAAGAGTATCCATCCCCCCTTTTCAAGGGACCAAAAGTAATTGGACAATTGAATATAATCATAAATAGAATGTTAATTTTTAATATTTTGTTGAGAATCCTTTACTGGCAATGACTGCCTGAAGTCTGGAACTCATGGACGTTACCAAAGACTGGGTTTCCTCCTTTCTGATGCTTTGCCAGGCTCTAACTGCAGCTGTCTTTAGTTGTTCTTTGTTTGTGGGTCTTTCTGCCTTTAGTTTTGCCTTCAGCAAGTGAAATGCATGCTCAATTGGGTTGAAATCAGGTGATTGACTCGGCCATTGTAGAATATTCCACTTTTCCTTCAAAAGCTCCTGGGTTGCTTTAGCAGTGTGTTTTGGATCATTGTCCATCTGTACTGTGAAGCGCTGTCCAATCAACTTTGCTGTATTTGGCTGAATCTGGGCTGACAGTATATCTCTAAACACTGCAGAATTCATCCGACTAATTCTGTCTTCTGCCACATCATCATAAAACACCTATGACCCAGTGCCACTGGAAGCCATGTATGCCCATGCCATCACACTGCCTCCTCCATGTTTTACACTTGACGTTGTGCGCTTTGGATCATGAGCTGTTCCAAGCCTTCTCCACGCTTTTTTCTTCCCATCATTCTGGTACAGATTAATCTTAGTTTCATCCGTCCAAAGAATGCTTTTCCAGAACTGGTCTGGCTTTTTTAGATGTGTTGTGGCAAAGTCTAATCTGGCTTTTCTCTTCTTCAGGCTTATGAATGGTTTGCACCTTGTGGTGAACCCTCTGTATTTGCTCTCGTGAAGTCTTCTCTTGATTGTAGACTTTGACAGTGATATGCCCACCTCCTGGAGAGTGTCCTTCACTTGTCTGGATGTTGTGAATGGGTTTTTCTTTACCATAGAGAGGATCCTGCAATCATCCACCACTGTTGTCTTCCGTGGACATCCATGCCTTTTTATGTTGCTGAGCTCACCAGTGCATTCTTCTTTCCTCAGAATGTACCAAATTATTGATTTGGCCATGCCTAATATTGCTGCTTACTCTGATGGATTTGTTTCATTTTTGAAGCCTTACAGTGGCCTGTTTCACTTGCATGGACAACTCCTTTTTACGCATGATGTAGGTTCACAGCAATAGATTCCAAATGCAAATACCACACCTTAGAATCAACTCCAGACCTTTTACCTGCTGCATTGATGAAGAAATAACAAAGGAGTAGCCCACTCCTGGCCAGGAAACAGCTTTTCATTCAATTGTCCAATTACTTTTGGTCCCTTGAAAAAGGGGGGTGGCTACTTATAAGAGCTGTTATTCCTAAACCCTTCTTCCAATTTGGATGTACATACCCTCAAGTTAAACCTGAGAGTGTGCACTTTCAGCCCATATCCATTATATAACTATAGCTTGAAAATGTGTTGGTAAATACCTGAAAAAAACTAAACTTGTGCCTGTGTCCAAATATATATGGACCAGGGGCGGACTGACCATTTGGAAACTCGGGCACTGCCCGAGGGCCCGAGGTCAGTAGGGGGCCCCATGAGATGCCCCTAGTACCTTTTTCATAGGCTTTTTTGAGTTTGGGCCAGGACACAGGGGCCCGATGATCCCCTATTGCCCGGGGGCCTCATGAGTTGTCAGTCCACCCCTGATATGGACCTAACTGTATTAATCAAAAACCGTAAAAGAAGATGCTACCCATCCACCCCAAACCTTGTCAAACTTGAGGAGTGCTCCTCTTTTAAGATACGTAGCCTTGTAAAGGGGTAACGTCTTATTAACCTGGGACTTCCAAGCCCCCACGGGAGGAGCATGCGTTTTTTTCCATGAGAGAACAATCTGTTTCCTAGCATGGAGGAAGAGTAGGGCAAGTAGCGTGGGTACATTTTTAGTGGGGGCTAAATCATCCACCAGACTAGGTAGGCAATGTCTCACAGAAGGGTTGAGCGGTATAGTGGCAACATCTTGAATGAACCGGAGAACTTCTGACCAGAACCCCTGTATAGCTGGACAATCCCAATATATATGCATGAAATCAGCCCCATCTGCCAGACAACGCCAACAATAGGAGGATGCTTGATTCACTGACATTCCTTTTTGTTAGGTTGCTTGTTTGGAGTGTTTAGAAGGAATGATTTTGCTTTAAAACTTAAGGGGATCCAGTGGTGCTGCCAAGGGTTGACCAGGGTAACCAGAATGGTACCATCTATTCTGCTATTTAACAGTAGCTTAGCACACGTTTTCTCGCTATGGGGTTACTAGAAGTGGTTAATTCTGTCCTCTAAATTGCATTTCAGGGGGCAGAACTGGAAGCTCAGCGCCTGCGTGGGTCTGAAATGGATGCCATGCTTGCAACGAAGGATAAGAAATTGGCTGAAAAGGAAGCATACATTGTTGACCTGCAGATGTCTGCAGCTTCAAATCTCTCTCAAGATGCAGTCGTTACAGAAGTAAATGTTAAGGTATGAATTATTTCTAATATGGCGTTTGTATGGTATAGCAAGGCGGTTGCATCGCTCTTCAATTTAATTAAAAAAAATTCTTGCATGGTTTTTATTCTCTAACAAGCGGTCTGAATGTTCCTCTTATCTGTCATCCAGAGCCCGGCATCCTCACAAGATTCCAACCAGGACCTGAATATCCTCATCCAAAACTTGAACAAGAAGGTGGGAGAAAGTGAAGAGAAGTACAGCCTCCTTCATGAGCAGACCGAAAGCTTGAAAGCCCTTCTTAACAAAGAGAAGAGTCAGTTTCATGAGAAGGAGGCAATGTACACAGAAAATGTGAGTGATCTGTCCAGGCTCTTTACTTTTGTTCAATATACATATAGGCTTTTAACTACTTGCCCTCCAGAGAATTTACCCTCCCCTTCCTGACCAGGCCATTGTTTGTGATACGATGCTGCGTAATTTAACTGACATTTGCGCGGTCATGTAGTGCTGCACCAAAAATGAGATTTATGTCCTTTTTTCCCACAAATGGAGCTTTCTTTCGGTTATATTTGATCATACTTTTATTTATTTATTTTTTGTGCTATTAGAAAAAAAAAAAAGACTGACAATTTTGAGGAAAAAAAAACAATATTTTTTACTTTTTGCTAATAGACATGTCCAGTAAAAAAAATTTAAACAAATTTCGTCATAAATTTAGGCCAAAATGTATTCTGCGACATGTCTTTGCTAAAAAAAAAATCTCAAAAAAGTGCCTGCAGAAGATAACAGCAAACAGCGACACACAATGGCCGCATGGAGCCAAAACCTGGCAACCACCACCTCGGCTCCACCACTTTGGGAGACCCTGGACTTAAACCATCCAGTCTCCCGGATGTCATCCATAGCCAGAGGCTCCCATTATAGATATAGATAATCAATACTGGAAACTAAGAAATAAATAATAAACCAATGCTCGATAATTATATTCCCCACTTGTCCGCTTTTTGTACCAGTAAAGTCCCATCAGATTTTGTTTTTTTCTTATTAAATCTGTTGTCTAACATTTATCTGCGTTGATGTTTTTTTGTTATAATATGCTGCATTAATTTACACAATTTTTCATGAATGCTACAAAAAAGCAAATATGTTTTCATATTTTATATGCTTTCAGATTCGGGTATATCAGAATATGATTCTGGAAAAGGAGAAAGAGATGAAGGAGTTATCGCAGAAACATGATCAAGAAATCTTCAAGCTTGCTGCTAAATCTGATGCCACCGCTGACCTTCACCAGGTATACTGTGTGCCAGAATTGAACATCCTGATGCCACATGGCAGAAGAAAGTTTTGTATATCTTGGAGGTCATGTTTTAAGGGCAACTGTATGCTGGTATGAAGTAAAATGCGTTCGAATCAACTAAAGAGAGAGACATTAATCTACTTGATTTAAAGCCAAACTCCTGCCAATTTTTTTTTTTTTCACTTTGGATAGGCACAAACATTTTTATAGACCTCAGCAAGGGTTTAACTCCTTGTTTTACTTAACCACTTCTCGTCCTCCCTATAGCAGTAATACTGCTACAGGACGGCACGGGTGCGCAAAATCACATATACATACAGGTGAAACTCGAAAAAAATTAGAATATCGTGCAAAAGTTTATTTGTTTAGTAATACAACTTAAAAGGTGAAACTAATATGAGATAGACTCATTACATGCAAAGCAAGATAGTTCAAGCTGTGATTTGTCATAATTGTGATGATTATGGCTTACAGCTCATGAAAACCCCAAATCCACAATCTCAGAAAATGAGAATATTACATGCAATCAATAAAACAAGGATTGTACATAGAACAATATCGGACCTCTGAAAAGTATAAGCATGCATATGTACTCAGTACTTGGTTTGGGCCCCTTTTGTAGCAATTACTTCCTCAATGCAGCGTGGCATGGAAGCTATCAACTTGTGGCACTGCTGAGGTGTTATGGAAGACCAGGATGCTTCAATAGCGGCCTTCAACTCTTCTGCATTGTTCGGTCTCATGTCTCTCATCTTTCTCTTGGCAATGCCCCATAGATTTTCTATGGGGTTCAGGTCAGGCGAGTTTGCTGGTCAATCAAGCACAGTAATCCCCACGGTCATTGAACCAGGTTTTGGTGCTTTTGGCAGTGTGGGCAGGGGCCAAGTCCTGCTGGAAAATGAAGTCAGCGTCCCCATAAAGCTCGTCTGCGGAAGGAAGCATGAAGTGCTCCAAAATCTCCTGGTAGACGGCTGCGTTGACCCTGGACTTAATGAAGCACAGTGGACCAACACCAGCAGATGACATGGCTCCCCAAATCAACACAGACTGTGGAAACTTCACACTGGACTTCAAGCATCTTGCAGTGTGTGCCTCTCCATTCTTCCTCCATACTCGGGGTCCTTGTGCCTCTCCATTCTTCCTCCATACTCGGGGTCCTTGGTTTCCAAATGAGATGCAAAAGTTGCTCTCATCAGAAAAGAGGACTTTGGACCACTGAGCAACAGACCAGGTCTGTTTTTCTTTAGCCCAGGTAAAACGCTTCTGACGTTGTTTGTTGTTCAGGAGCAGCTTGACAAGAGGAATACAACATTTGAAGCCCATGTCCAGGATCCGTCTGTGTGTGGTGGCTCTTGATGCACTGACTCCAGCCTCAGTCCACTCCTTGTGAAAGTCCCCAACACTTTTGAATGGCCTTTTTGCTGACAATCCTCTCCAGGCTGCGGTCATCCCTGCTGCTTGTGCACCTTTTTCTTACACACTTTTCCCTTCCACATAACTTTCTATTAATGTGCTTTGATACAGCACTTTGGGAACATCCAACTTCTTTTGCAATGACCTTTTGAGGCTTTCCCTCCTTATGGAGGGTGTCAATGATGGTTTTCTGCACAACTGTCAGGTCAGCAGTCTTTCCCATGATTGTGATTCCTACTGAACCAGACTGAGAGACTATTTAAAGGCTCAGGAACCCTTTGCAGGTGTTATGGCTTAATTAGCTGATTAGAGTGGGACACTTTGAGCCGAGAATATTGCGCCTTTTCACAATATTTTAATTTTCTGAGATTGTGGATTTGGGGTTTTCATGAGCTGTAAGCCATAATCATCACAATTAGGACAAATCACGGCTTGAACTATCTTGCTTTGCATGTAATGAGTCTATCTCATATATTAGTTTCACCTTTTCAGTTGCATTACTGAAATAAATGAACTTTTGCAGGATATTCTAATTTTTCAAGTTTCACCTGTACACATGATTTTGCAGTTCAGGGTAGGGGGCGCACACCGCCATTTGTGGCCTCGGCTTGTCAATCACCGGGTCCTGGTTGACGTTGCATCTTCAACAGGGGGGAGAATTGTTTGTAAACAATACAGTTCTCTCCCCTGTCAGCTCCCGCACACTGCTTTGTATGGCTCTGCATAGCACAGCCATGCAAAGCAGTGTGGTTACAGTGAAGCACACACACAGGACACAATGTAAAATGGCACACAGTTAACCCTTTGATCTCCCCACGTTAACCCCTTCCTGCCCAGTGTCATTAATACACTGTCAGTGCTTTTTATTAGCACTGATCACTGTATTTGGTGTCATTGGGGATGTCAGGAACACCAAGTCAGTTCTCCCCCCAGTGTCAGAATGCCAGCTGTAGTCCCGCTATAAGTCGCTGATCGCCGCCATTGCTAGTAAAAAAAAAAAAAAAAATCCCATTATATATACCGCCATTTGTAGACGCTATAACTTTTATGTAAACCAATCAGTTTACACGTATTGGTATTTTTTATTTTTTTTTTTTTTAGCAAAGACATGTAGCAGAATGCATTTTATCCTAAATGTATAACAAAATTAGATTTTTAAAAAATTTTTTACTGGACATGTTTAATATCAAAATGTCAAAAATATAGTTTGTTTTTTTTCTCATAATTGTCGGGTTTTTTTTTTTTTATAGCACAAAAAATAAAAATGCACAGCCGATCAAATACTACCAAAAGAAAGCTTTATTCGTGGGAAAGAAAAGATGTAAATTTTAATTTGGGTGCAGCGTTGCATGACTGCGCAATTGTCAGTTAAAGTAACGCAGCACCATAACCCAAAAAATGGCCTTGTCAGGAAGGGGGGTAAATCCTCTGGAGGGCAAGTGGTTAAAAAGAGTTGTTTTGTTTCAGTACCCACTGTACAGATTTCCCATAACTTCCTGTACTGCCAGGAAGTGAGATGCCTCAGGTGGGTCACAGCAGTAAAAATTTTCCACAGCAACAAATAACAGAAAAGTGCCTAACTGATTGGTAAGAGACCAAATTGCTTTAAAGTGGTTATATAAGCCTTTACTTATACCCAGTGAAGTGACTGGCCAAGTGAAATGACCGAAACAAATCCTCCTACATAAGTTGTACCTGTTTATCTGTAGTATTCTCGTCTCTACATCCATTCAAAGTGCTGAATTTATAAAGCTTGCTGAGAGTATAGAAAAAAATGGGCGGAGAGCCGAAATTGTACACTGCAGAGCTCGAGGAATTGTACAGCTGCAGGGAGAGAAACACCCCCTCCACAAAGCTCACAGAACAGAGCCGAGGCTGGTTATCTGCTGGAGATCCCTCCCCTGTCACCGTGTATTTTCTTAGTGTCAGGAAAACTTGTCAGAAGTGATTCATGCTGATACTGTCATTTATCTATGCTGCTTCCTCCTCTATCAGCATGAATCACTCCTGACAAGTTTTCCTGACACTAACAGAAAAAAGGTGAGGTGAAAGATCTCCAGCACACAGCCTGTAATTGATTAGCCTCAGCTCTGTTCCTGTGTGCTGTGTGAAGGAGAGGCTGTCCTTTCCCTCCAGTCAGCTATGGGATCTCTACATTGTGTAATTTCTGTTCTCCACCTCCTCTTTTCTGGAGGCTTAGACAAGCTTTATAAATTCTGGACTTTGATAGAATGTAGAGAAGTGAATACTTCAGATAAACAGGTACAACTTATGTAGGAGGATTTGTTTCATCTGTGTGTATTTACCTGAGGCCAGTCATTCACTGAGTATAGGTTAGGGACAGAGGACTGACCATCCATGTAACCAGTGAGCAGCAGCAGTTTGACAGCAGCACACTTTTAAGGCTCCATACACAATGGGTGTTTTTTGATAACGCTGGTAACGTTAGCTGTGTAAAGTCACGTTAAAAATGTGAGTTTTTCAGTTTTTTTTATTGTTATTGCATTAGCGTTTTATCACGTGTTTCTTTATCTTTTTTTTTTTTTCACAAAAAAAAAAAAGATTTTTTGCACATGGAGCGTTTTGTTAATGCTGGTAACATTAGCTGTGTAAAGTCACGTTAAAAATGAGTTTTTCAGCTTTTTTTTAGCGTTTTTTGCATTAGCGTTTAGTGGCGTTTTTCCGCATTTGCGTTTTTTTTAGCGTTTCTTTTACCCAAAAAAAAAATTTTTTTTTTGCTAAAAAAAAAAGTCCAAACACCGGTTTGCAGCGTTTTTTTTCAGCGTTAAAGTGTTTTTACAGCTAAAAAAAAACTCTAGAAACCCGCTAGTCCAGGGTTTTTTTTCAGTTAAAAAATGTTGATTACAGTCTGTGTGTATGGACACATAGGATAACATGCTGGGGGGTTTACTGGCTGTAGAAAAAATCGTCAAAAGCCAAAAACAGCCGCTGTAAAAACATCCAGTGTGCATGAGGACTTAGAATGGCTTCTCTGGCGCCTCTATATATATATATATTGATGCAGGTTTTCACAAGAGGAAAGTCAACCCTTTGCATGATTTTTATATTTTCTATCATTAACAGCTGCTCAAGGCTCTGAAACAGAAGCTGCATGAGGAAGAAGAGGTGTTATCAGGGAAGAATCAGGTGATTGATGTTTTACAAAAGGAGCTGGATAATAAGGATCAACAGATCGCTGTAAGTAGCTGAATTTTGCCACAGTAATGGGATGACATATGAACTTCCGTTCATAAAATGGTGTGAAGTGCAAAGGAGTGTAGTAGTTATTTATTCTAGCCCAGTGGTGGGGCAACCTTTTTTTTTCAACTGAGCCAAATCTCGCCAAAACCATTGATTGATAATTTATTTTGAGAGCCACATTTTTTAAAACTGAAAATACATCTCCCATATAGTAATTCATCCCCCATAGTAATTCATCCCCCATATAGTAATTCACCCCCCATAGTGTAATTCATCCCCCATTAGTAATTCATCCCCCATATAGTAATTCATCCCCCATCGTAATTCATCCCCCATCATCCCCCATATAGTAATTCATCCCCCATAGCAATTCATCCCCCGTATAGTATTTCATCCCTCCGTATAGTATTTCATCCCCGTATTTGCGTATTTCATCCCTCATATAGTATTTCATCCCTCATATAGTAATTTCATCCCCATATAGTAATTTCATCCCCCTCATATAGTATTTCATCCCCCTATATAGTAATTCATCCCCCATATAGTAATTCATCCCCCCATATAGTATTTCATCCCCCCATATAGTATATTCTTCCATTTCATCCCCCATATTAGTAAATTCATCCCCCATATAGTATTTCATCCCCCCATATAGTAATTTCATCCCCCATATAGTATTTCATCCCCCATATAGTATTTCATCCCCATATAGTAATTTCATCCCCCCATTTAGTATTTCATCCCCCATATAGTAATTCATCCCCCCATATAGTATTTCATCCCCCCATATAGTAATTCATCCCCATTATAGTAATTTCATCCCCCATTGATAGTATTTCATCCCTTCATATAGTATTTCATCCCTCCATATAGTATTTCCCCCCATATATAGTAATTTCATCCCCCATATAGTAATTATAGTATTCATCCCCATTATAGTAATTCATCCCCATATAGTATTTCATCCCTCATATAGTAATTCATCCCTCATATAGTATTTCATCCCCATATAGTAATTCATATAGTAGTATTTCATCCCTCATATAGTATTTCATCCCCATATAGTAATCCCTCCCATATAGTAATTCATCCCTCATATAGTATAGTAATATAGTATTTCATCCCCCATATAGTATTTCATCCCTCATATAGTAATTCATCCCTCATATAGTAATTCATCCCTCATATAGTATTTCATCCCCCCCATATAGTAATTCATCCCCCATATAGTAATTCATCCCCCATTATAGTAATTCATCCCCCATATAGTAATTCATCCCTCATATAGTAATTCATCCCCCCATATAGTATTTCATCCCCCCATATAGTATTTCATCCCCCCATGTAGTATTTCATCCCCATATAGTAATTTCATCCCTCATATAAAGTAATTCATCCCTATAAAGTAATTCATCCCTCATATATAGTATTTCATCCCCATATAAGTAATTTCATCCCTCATATAGTATTTCATCCCCCCATATAGTAATTCATCCCTCATAAAGTAATTCATCCCTCATATTATTTCATCCCCCACAGTACTATCCCCCCCCCCCCTTCTAGTAAGCCAAGTCCCCCGTGGTCAATTCACTTACCTTTTGCGTTCCTCTCGCTGTCTTCCCGCGCCGTTCGGGGTCTTCAGGGCTGGACTGTAGAGGAGCCTAGCTCCCTCCCCTCACGTTCGGCCACGCTGCCCCGCCTCCACACCACATCCTGACAGCCACATCCGCGGGCCGGATTAAAAAAGTTCCCGCGCGGACTTTTGGGGCTGCCAACCGAGAGGAGGCAGGGGAGCAGAGGAGGAGAGGGGAGCAGGCGCCCGGCACACAGAAGAGCCGCATTAGAGTGGGTAAAGAGCCGCATGTGGCTCGCGAGCCGCGGGCTTGCCGACCACTGTTTCTAGCCAATCATAGAACTGCTCTTCATAGTTTCACTGCTAAATATCATTGTTTGCTATGAGTTATCACACCCCATGCCATTATTTTGTTGTCAGACTGCTGACCACAACAGTAGTGAGGGACTAATGCCTCGTACACAGTATAAGAAAATCGTCCGAAAATTTTCATACAAGGACCGATCGTCCGATAATCGGATCGTCCGTACACAGCTTTCGAGAGCCGATCACGACAATTCGTACGACAATATCCGAAGGGACAAGCGCAAAAATGTTTCACGTAGCACACCAGATTGCACGATTTTCATTTAATCAGTACAGTAGTCGTCTGAAAATACAATACAAATATAACGCAATACATGACATCACTTTCGAATTTCTTTTCTTTCAAAGGAGAATTTTTGTATCTTTAGTAACCTTTTCCCTTTCGATGTGAGACCAGCAGGCGAAAAAAAAACAGCCGATCATTCGTCCGATATTCTCATCGTGTGTACTTGCTGTTAGAGTTCAGGGAGAAGAATGCACCAGGTTCTCGCCATGCTATATAATGGACCATTGAACCTTTTTTTTGATCATCTAGTTGTGTTTTCCCACACAACATAATAAAAACATGTTTTGGGGAGAACGCCAGAAGAGGGTAATTCTGGACTGTAACTCATAATGCAATTTACAGGCGTACCTCAGTTTACAAATTTAATGTGTTCTGTGGTACTTTTCATATTGCGCAAAATTTGTAAACCAAACCGCGGTATCCCATAGGAATGCATTGAAAACCAATTAATCCGTTCCAGAGGTCAGAAAAAAAGTTTAACGAAAGGTACTTTATTGGTTCAAAATTCTTTTATAAAGTGCACTTTAAAGGCATACATACTGTACAGGGACATGATTAAAAAAAAAATTTGTAAATGCATTGAAAATCAGTTAAAATCCGTTACGGAGGTCAGAAAAAAGTTAAAAAAAAAAAAAAAAGTTTTATCTGTTCATAACTTTTTATACAGTGCACTTTAAAGGCATAAATATTGTACAGGGACATGATTAAAAATTAATTTGTCAATGCATTGAAAACCAATTATTCCGTTCCGGAGGTCAGAAAAAATTCAAAAGTCTTCTCTGTTCAAAACTCTTTATAAAGTGCACTTTGAAAGGCATACATACTGTACAGGGACATGATTAAAAAAAAATTTGTAAATGCATTGAAAACCAATGAATCTGTTTGTATTGCAAAAAAAATTCATAAACCGAGCCATTATTTTCAATGGATTTTCATTCGTAAACCGAAAATTACATTAACCGAGGCGTTCGTAAACCGAGGTATGCCTGTAATTGTTATAGGACAGATTGTTGAGACAGTTCTTCTCTAAAGTGCTTGAAGTATAAGTAAAAGGCTTTTTTTTAGTTTGGACAGAGTGGAAAGGGATTCGTGAATGTGCATAAGGTGCGACTCAGTCCCAAATACATTAATAAAGAAAAGAAAGAAGTTGCCCAAGGAACTTTACGAGGCACACAGACTATATTTTAAAAAGTCACTTTTTTTTATTTAAAAAAAACCTATTAAAAACAGGCTACAAAAATCGATATATATGATACATCAAACTTAATTTTTATATACAAGTAAAAATGCATGATCTATATCAGGGGTGTCAAACTGGCGGCCCTCCAGCTGTTGCGAAACTACAAGTCCCATCATGCCTCTGCCTTTGGGAGTCATGCTTGTAACTGTCAAGCTTGCAATGTATCATGGGACTTGTAGTTTGGCAACAGCTGGAGGGCTGCCAGTTTGACACCCGTGATCTACATGATCCATGAACTACATAACACAAGTTCTCTACACAGAATCTCTATGCATTTCATGAATCAGCATTCACTTCTTTAGGAGATAGCAAAGCTTGTAGATCCATATGGTGGTGTCTGAGGAGAGACCAGGTCGTTCGATATAAAGAGGGGGATTAGAACACCTATTTGGTTTATATTGCTGTCTGTGCCTCTCTATTTGTCCTGTTTACCACTATTATCAAAAGTTAAAGTAAAAGAAAACCCACACATTTCGGGTTTTCCCCAGAAAAGTAATAGAGGGGAAAGGGGAAATCTTCCAAGAGGGACACTAGTTCTGGTGACCTGGGGGTCCCCATGGCATTCCTTTAATTTTCACGGATTTTCTTTCACTTCCTGTTTTGGCTATAGGACAGAAAGTGAAGGTAAATCTCCCCAATGGGACACAGATGGCAAGAAAATAAACTGACGGGTTATAACCCTCCCTTCATTCAAAATGTATAAAAATGTTTTACCTGTAGTTCTACTTTAAATAAATGAAGCCAACTTGCTTTATTTTGAATCTACTTATATTTCTAATAAGGGTTAATACAGGTTCTGCTTCTGTTAAAGATGGTCTATTTGCAGAGTTTTAAAAGAACCTAGAACCAGTGCTGTGGAAGTTGTGCCCAGAAAAGACAAGTAGAGGGCCAATGACTAACCACTTTTGCCTCCGGACTCCTTGCACCTCTTTGCTTCATTATTGGCTTGCTTTTACTTGTTTTGCACTATGTCTGCATGGAAGTGGCTATCTTTGCTTCACATGTCACTGCTGTGTCCCTAATAGCTGGGATGAGGGGGGAATGTTCAAGCAGGAGAGGAGGTGGAAGCAGAGATCCACACAATGATTGAAACAGAAGCAGGGAGATGTATGTATTCCGTAACCTCAGGTACAGTCACCACTCCAGCACAGAGAACAATGAGCAGCACAATAGTGACCACACCAAATCTCATGAGACTAGCCAGATGTAATAGTGTTTAGATGATCTGTCACTGATGATACATGGCTATGAAGCTCTAGACACAGGAAGTACACTTTTCTTTCTTTTTTTTTTTTTAAACTTGTACCTACAGGAAAGGCTATACCTTACCGTGTAGGTATAGTGAATATTTCCTAAACTTACACTGTTTAGGAGATATTTACACAGCATTCAGCCAGTGACATCACCAGCACATGTGCTCTGAAGGGACGGCATACCCGTGCCGGGTGAAGATGGATGTGCTCGGGAGCCTTGACAGCGCTGTGCTGGAGGACTCCGTGTCCAGGTAAGTCTGTCCTAATGTGCTAGTGTGCAGTGCATACTAGTACATTACAACATAAACCTGCAGGGGCATGATTTTTTTTTTTTTTTTTTTTGTGGCAGTTGACTACCTCTTTAAAAGGACAAAAATGACATTTCTCAGGATACTGCTTAGGTGCAATTGACATTTCTAAATATTCCCATTTAAGATAACAAATCTTCATGAGGAACACAGTCCTGCTGCCCATTCTTTACTGGTACGAGGATTGCTCTCTGACATAATTATAGTTGAATAAAACCCCAGTAGCCTTCTGTACCTTTTACTCATCTCAGATGTAAAATTATGAACACTTCTTGCATTGTAACGTATTTACAAGCTGTTGTGAAACACTATACCTCATTCTTCATTGTACAGTTGTGTTCAAAATAATAGCAGTCAGACATCACTAACCTGATCAATCACTGTTTTTGGTAGAAATTATATTTCTACATGGCAAATAATTTACTAGCTGGTGTAGTAGAGTAATAGAAATCCAACAGACCCAGCAGTCATGACATGCATGCTGCTGATTCTCTGTCATTGAATCACTCATTGAAAGGGGCGTGTTCAAAATAATAGCAGTGTGGAGTTCTATTAGTGAGGTCATTCATTCTTTGAAAAACAGGTGGCAATTATTGCCCTTATTTAAGGAAGGAAGGCAGCAAATGTTGTACATGCTGGTTACAGTACATTTCTCTCCGAAATTCTGAGGAAAATGGGTAGTTCCAGACATTGTTCAGAAGAAACAGCGTACCTTGATTAAAAAGTTGATTGGAGAGGGGAAAACATATACAGAAGTGCAGAAAATGATAGGCTGCTCAGCTAAAATGATCGCAAATGCTTTAAAATGGCAACCAAAACCTGAAAGACGTGGAAGAAAGCGAAAAACTACCATTCGAATGGATAGAAGAATAGCCAAAATGGCAAGGACTCAGCCAACAATCAGCTCCAGGAAGATGAAAGAAGGTGTAAAGTTACCTGTAAGTCCTGTTACAATTAGAAGACGCCTATGTGAAGCCAAGCTATCTGCAAGAAGCCCCCGCAAAGTCCCACTGTTGGAAAAAAGACATGTGCTGAAGAGGTTACAATTTGCCAAAGAGCACATTGACTGGCCTAAAGAGAAATGGCGCAACATTTTGTGGACTGATGAAAGTAAGATTGTTCTTTTTGGGTCTAGTGGCCGGAGACAGTTTGTCAGACGACCCCCAAACACTGAGTTCAAGCCACAGTACACTGTGAAGACAGTGAAGCATGGTGGTGCAAGCATCATGATATGGGGATGTTTCTTATACTACAGTGTTGTTGGGCCTATTTATCGCATACCAGGGATCATGGATCAGTTTGAATACATCAGAATACTTGAAGAGGTTATGCTGCCTTATGCTGAAGAGGAAATGCCCTTGAAATGTGTGTTCCAACAAGACAACAACCCCAAACACACCAGTAAACGTGCAACATCTTGGTTCCAGACCAACAAGATTGACGTTATGGAGTGGCCAGCCCAATCCCTGGATCTTAATCCAATAGAAAACTTGTGGGGTGACATCAAAAATGCAGTTTCTGAGGCAAAACCAAGAAATAGAGAAGAACTGTGGAATGTAGTCCAATCATCCTGGGCTGGAATACCTGATCAAAGGGGCCAGAAGTTGGGTGACTCCATACAACACAGATGTGCAGCAGTTCTTAGAAACAGTGCGACTACAACCAAATATTCATTAAGTCATTCAAAGGAAAGCAAAATCTTCAAACCTTTTTCATTTTATATAGTGAATGTTTGAGTTTGTAAAGAAGAATACAAACACTGCTATTTTTTTGAACTGTCTAATATTCACTTTTTTTTCAAATTTTTTAGAGGAACAAAAAAATTTGATCTGTTTTTCTTCATGTTTTGATTTGGAATAGAATGTGTAGTGTTCCCAATGCATTTGTGTGTATGGAAATAAAAGCTATTAGAAGGATTTTGAGATTTATTCATTTTTTTCAACACACTGCTATTATTTTGAGCACAACTGTATAACTATATTTCTAAACCTTTAATAAAAATGTATTAAACCGGAAGATAGCAAATCTTCACTTACTGAGTTCTGGTCCATGCATGTTCAGTTTATTTCCTTTTGTGTTTTCATAATTTCAGCATAAGATGGTTGGTCTTTGAATAGGCACTATCACAAATATTAAACAGTAGGTGACTTGTTTGATATTGCAGGAAATGAATGAAAAATGCAGACGTCTTCTATCAGAAAAAGAGAACCTCCAGTCTAAACTGGATGCAGAAAAGCACATCATGAGAGCTCAGCTCAGGGACATGATGGAGAGACATGAGACAGAAATGCGTACTCTGAATGACCACCACAGTAGGACACTACAAGATATCCAGGAAAAGCACGAAGTGGAAATGCAGGAAAAATTCCAGACCATCCAACAACTTCAGGGACAACTGCAAGGCCTGGTGAGCCCAGGAGAAGTTGGAACTGGATCCTATGAGGCAGCAGAGAAGGAAATGACCAAGTTACAAGGTAATCGCTTACCCGGCGATTTGATATTTAACAGTTTTAGGCACCATTCACACTGGTGATCTGATCAGGTCTGCCTGTCCGTTTTCCTAATGCAGACCTGATTGGCTGGTCCATGTGCCGCCTACCTCCTAACTGATCTTGTCCACTAAAAAGAAATGGAAGAGGATCCGTCCCCTTCTATCTAACTGGATGCGATCAGAGGGCAGTCAGGTGTAAATGGACTTCGGAGTCTGTTTACACTGACCACCAATAGTGTAGAGTGGGTTCTGTCCGTGTCTGAATGGACAAGGATCTGTCATCCACTCGCTCTGCTCCGATCAGCAGGGGATCTGTGAGTAGATCCCTTGCTGATCCGAATAGAGTCCGCCCTGTGTGAAAGGGGCCTCATCCATAGGAACTATTTTAAATTGTTTATTCAGTTTGTTTAGAACTGATTGGTATAAATAACACAAACGGTGTTTGATAAATTGGATTCCTGTGGACCAGAATTCATCGGTGTTCAAAGGCAGGTGCAAGAAATTAGGGACAGGGTTGGGGAATTTTCTAGTGATTGTCAGAATCCAGAAAATACAAAGCTTGATTTAAGGAACAACTTATAGAGAAGTTTTTATTCATATCCCCAACCCCTCGATAAAGCTCTTTCAGTAAAATACTTCTCTTCATTCTAGCTCCTGAATTCTTTACTGTGTGGCCCTGCCCGTCTGTGTTTTATATTCCCAAACTGGAACCGAAGAGTTCTTTTAAAGGCTTCAACAAAGTTGCTAGAAGCTTGCCGAAAGCTTTGCAGAAACTAGCTGTAGCCCGTGTGATAAGGCCTAACACATTACACTTTACACAGCATAAAGTTTTTTTATTAAAGTACAGGGTTTTTTTTTTTAGTTCCATTTTTATATTGTAACTGCAGAAATACTAGGAATTAAGACACTGGGGTTGATTTACTAAAGGCAAATGGGCTGTGCACTGAAAGTGCAGTTGCTCTAGATCTGAGAGGGACATGCAAGGGAAATTAAAAAAAAAAAAAACAGCATTTTTGCTTGCCATGATTGGATGAAAGAAATTAGCAGAGCTTCGCCTCATTTCAGAGCTTCCCCTCGAATTTTAAACTACTGCATTTGAAGTGCACTTTCAGGTGCACTTGCTTGTGCTTAGTGAATCGAACAAGATATACCTGTGCTCAAATCCCAATAGCTAGTACATGCATTTATCCATCAGGTGCTAAAGGGTGGAACCACATTAACTCTAGAAATTCTGAAGGACCCTCTGCACACTGCTACCGTATTTGCCGGCGTATAAGACGACTTTTTAACCCATGAAAATCTTCTGAAAAGTCGGGGGTCGTCTTATACGCCGGTATACGGCGAGCCGGTGTCAGGGCGGCACTTTTTCGAGGGGCGGCGCGGTGGCGGAAGGGACACTAAGTACAGGGGCGGGCAGGGGGCTGCTGTACCTTACCTGGCTCCGGTCCCGGTCCCACGACGATCCGGTCCAGGAAGCGCGGCTGCTCATTCTTTCAGTTCGGCCGCTTGATGGACGCGCGGCCGCTCGGCTCCGCCTCCACCCCGGTGATTGGGCGCCAGCACTGGAAAGGCACACAGGCGACCAATCACCGCAGGAGGCGGAGCGGGCCCCCGAAAATCGAGTGAGGGAGCGGCCAGTAAGTGTGCAGCAGCACCATGCTGTGACACTCTTGGCACTATTCCTCTCACCCACTGACACCAACGATGGGGCACTGTTCCTCCCCCACTGACACCAATGATGAGGCACTGTTCCTCCCCCACTGACACCAACGATGAGGCACTGTTCCTCCCCCACTGACACCAACGATGGGGCACTGTTCCTCCCCCACTGACACCAACGATGGGGCACTATTCCTCCTCCCCAATGACACCAACGATGGGGCACTATTCCTCCTCCCCAATGACACCAACGATGGGGCACTATTCCTCCTCCCCAATGACACCAATGATGGGGCACTATTCCTCCTCCCCAATGACACCAACGATGGGGCACTATTCCTCCTCCCCAATGACACCAACGATGGGGCACTATTCCTCCTCCCCAATGACACCAACGATGGGGCACTATTCCTCCTCCCCACTGACACCAACAATGGGGCACTATTCCCCCCCTCTCCCCCCCCCCCCCCACTGACACCAATGATGGGGCACTTTTCCCGCCACTGATACCAACGATGGGGCACTTTTCCTTCCACTGATACCAATGATGGGGCGCTATTCCTCCCACTGACACCAATGATGGGACTCTATTCCTCCCACTGACACCAATGATGGGGCACTATTCCTCCCACTGACACCAATGATGGAGCACTATTCCTCCCACTGACACTAATGATGGGACACTATTCTTCCCACTAATACCAATGATGAGGCACTACTCCTCCCACTGACACCAGTGATGGGGCACTATTTCATCCACTGACACTAATGATGGGGCACTATTCCTCCCACTGACACTAATGATGGGACACTATTCCTCACACACTGACACTAATGATGGGGCACCATCATTGGTGTCAGTGGGAGGAATAGTGTCCCATCATTGGTATCAGTGGGAGGAATAGTGCCCCATCATTGGTGTCAGTGGATGAAATAGTGCCCCATCACTGGTGTCAGTGGGAGGAGTAGTGCCTCATCATTGGTATCAGTGGGAGGAATAGGGCCCCATCATTGGTGTCAGAGCGAGGAATCGTGCCCCATCATTGGTGTCAGTGGGAGGAATAGCGCCCCATCATTGGTGTCAGTGGGAGGAATAGCACCCCATCATTGGAATACCATACTGAAATAGCATACCATATTGAAATCAAATCTGATGTTTTTTCATTTTTATTTGGTGTGTGTTGGAAGAGGGGTAGTCTTATACGGCGAGTATAGCTCAAACCCTATATTTTAACAGGAAAAGTAGGGGGTCGTCTTATACGCCGGCAGATACGGTATATACCCTTTCAAGCAGACTCTGCAATAAATAGGGATATTTAGTTCACACATATTGCAATACATGTTTAAGCGGCCAACTGCCTCAAAGTAATCCCTCTATGGTACTAGCTATTGGGATTTGAGCACAGGTATGCCTTGTTTGTTGTATTGTGGGTCAGTAGCCAGACCTGAACCTTGTAGCTCTCCCCTACTTTGTCTTTTCCCCTATGTTGGCATTGTGTCCACAGTAGCATTGCGTAGGCAGAGCAGAGTAGGACTGGCCATAGAGGGATTACTTTGACGCAGTTGGCCGCTTAAACATGTATTGCAATATGTGTGAACTAAATATCCCTATTTATTGCAGAGTCTGCTTGAAAGGGTATATAGCAGTGTGCAGAGGGTCCTTCAGAATTTCTAGTGAAATCGACCCCACTGTGTACCCTCTAGGAAAAAAATTGCCAAGTATTTATATTTTACAGCAACATTACCTGGCTCTGATTTTATATACTGCTTTGCTATAACCACCTCGTGAGGGTGCTGGGAGGGCAACAGAAAATCCGCTTTTTTGCTGACCGAAGCAGCTATCTCCTGGGATACGGCTATACAGTAAATAGCAGGATGTACACACAGAGCCATGGAGCCCCAGGCCATGCTGCTGGTTTACAGGACTTATCCTTAGGAAAGGTAATCCATTTTATTGGCACTTTTTCAGAGGCGGGGCAAGTACAAATCTATAGGTTATAATAAAAATGCTGCTTATTTAAACTGCTAACCTACTAAAAACTCAACTTTTCTTTTTCTTTCTTTTTTTTGTTTTTGTTTCAGAGAAAGTAAAGTTGAAGACAGAAGAGGCAAGTAGATCAGAGGCTAAGTTCCTTAAAATGAAGGCATGGTCAAAGTCCAGAATCAGGCAGCTGGAAGAAGAACTAAAAATTGTACAAGTACCCCCATCATTTGCCCTGTTTTTGAACTGTTCTCTTACTCCCACTTCTGCCTGATTCTTAGACCTGGTAGAATCTGTATAACTGTATCTCTGTCCCTCTGTTCTTCCAGCATTCAGTCTTGTACTGCAGTATACCCTTTATAGTATACTCTGTGTTCAAAAGCATGCGTTTTCATCCTCCTATAACTGTTAGCTCTCCTTTTGTTTGTAGGCTGAAGCAAGGAACCAGGACTTGTCACAGTTGAGCGCTTATGTTGCAGAGCTGGAAGAAGAGAAGAGAGGTTTAGAGATTAAGCTGCAATCTGTTGCCGACTTGCAAGTGTTCAATGGTAAATATATGAAGCTGAAAGGGGGGGTGTGTACTTTTTTTTTTTTTTTTTTTTTTTTTTTACAATTTTTGTAAGCTAGTTTGTTCAGATTTAAATCTATTGGATATTTCTAAATGCAAAATCCCTAGGCCACAGATTTGGACTGTGTTCTTGCCCACCTTGGAGTATTGCCACTTTCCCTGTTGCATTCACTATGATTTACAGGTGTGCCTTGGTTTACGAATTTAATACGTTCTCTGGGACATTTTGTATTGCGAAAAATTCGTAAACCGAAACGCGGTTTCTCATAGGAAAACCGATTAATCCGTTCCAGAGGTCAGAAAAAAAGTAAAAAAAAAAGTTGCTGTCACTATGGGGTTTATTTACTAAAGCTGGAGAGTCCAAAATCAGACTCCCTTCTGCATAGAAACCAATCAGCTTCTAACCTCAGCTTGTTCAATGAAGCTTTGGCAATGAAACCTGGAAGCTGATTGGTTTCTATGCAGAAGGGAGTCTGATTTTGGACTCTCCAGCTTTAGTAAATAAACCCCTATATGTCCGTGCCAGTTTTTAAATGTAATTACCGGCATTTTTTTTTCTTCACTATAGCTCAGAGAATCAGCTGTCACTTTCCCCCCCAGCTAAAAGAGAAAGTTTCCTTTTAGTTTATTTCCCCAAGTTAAAAGAAACAATGTTTCCTTTTTGTTTCTTAAAAGAAACAAAGTTTCCTTTAGCTCTGGGAAAAGTGACAGCTAATTCTGTGAGCTATAGTGAAGAAAAAAAAAAAGCCGGCAATTGCATTTAAAAACCGGCACTGACATACACTTCGTATTGCGAAAAAAATTTGTAAACCGAGGCATTATTTTCAATGGATTTTCATTCCTAAACCGAAAATGACGTTAACCGAGGCGTTCGTAAAACCCTTACATAAAAACCCTATGGGTAGATGTTTGCTATGGCTGGTGGATCATTTGGGAAGCACAGAGTTCATACTAGTGCCCAAGAGGCATAAATTTGTTGCTTTAACTTTCCAATTTGTACTTTGCCAGTGCAGAGCAACCTAAAAAGCTCTATTTAAGTCCAGCCTCAGAATCTGACATCTTGCATACCCCAATCCACATCTTCCCATGCCTAACCAGCTAAGTACCATGGTGTAACACGGTAGGAAGTGGCATTTCTTTTCGTAGCACTGGGCACCTATTTTTTTTCCCTCAGTAGCCAAAAAGAACCATAAGGGGGAGTGAATGGAAAAAGTAAAGATTCACGTTCGGCTTTGAAAATTTGATGTGTACAGTATCTTTAAACTCCTGTTTGTTGTGTATTATACCTATACTTCTAAAATCAAAGAAGGCCTGATTTTTTTTTTCCTTTTTGAAATGCATTAGAGCAACTCCTGGCCAAACTTGTAGTTTATGAAGAACAGCAAAGAAAACTGCAGGCTGACCTTGAACAGGTTGCAAAGAGAGCCGATTCCCAGGTAAACCGCTCATATTTCAGACTGCATTTCACTATTTACTGTACGGTAATCTTTATCTCACTGGTGTTACCGGACTTGATTTGCTGTATAGTTGTCTATTCCTTTCACTATACCTGTCCTAAAGTTTCTCCACAATATATGTTTTGGAAATTCAGTTTGCACTGTCTTTATATAGAATTACACCAAACCTGCAACATGCTTTTTCTAATGAAAGAAACTGCAGATACAGACGTTGGTATGCAGGAATAGCTGGTAGCACAGACAGTTTCAGCCAATTGTTGGTATCTTTATATGTCTTTAATTTGCCTTCCTGATGAACTTCTGCAACCCCACAACATATGAATATATCAGCTTTCACAAATTCCAGTATATTTATGTAAGGCTAAGCACTCCACTCCATGTGGTAGAGCGTTGACCTGGCTATAAACTCTGTATTGCTTTATACAAGGAAATACTTTTCTTTTTTTTTTTTTTTTTTTTGCTAGAAGGATGAGTTTGAAAGTCAATGAAAAGGTACATGAAATGGATAATAGTTTGTCGACACCAGACAAGCACACCTAAATGGGCCTTCTAGACATTCCAATCCAAAACTATAGACGTTTATGTGTAGCTGGCCATAACAGGGGGTCCTGTTGCATATTTTGTGGAACTGCCCTGTGTTATGTGACTTGGGGACAAAGTGGATTCATTTCTAAGGTTCAGTTGGGGAGCAGTCCCACACCTCCCTTATTTTGCCATTTAAAGAGTAACTCCACTTTTGTTGAGAAAAAAAAAACTTTCCTCTCTGGGTGGTCTGTGTACATTGCAGGGATTTTACCAAACGTTGTTGTAGATTCCTACTTTTTGTTGTTCTGAAGAAATTGCTTTTTGTCTGTGTCCATGTGCACAGAGTGAATCTAATGAGAGTGGTTTCATAATTATCAATCGGCTGCTGCACCTGCGGGGCTCTAATGAGGAAGGCTGCAGGGTCTGCATCCCTTTTTAGATGTGATTTCCCTTTAAGAGTATCACACCAAAAATTACATTTTTGTTGCAGGGCAGGCTCAAAATCTGATTTGTATCTTAGTGCAGACTTCTTGGAAATTCATTAAGCCAATCACACACACAGGAAATTACATTTCTGGAGGGGGTTCTGGGGAAATGACATTTCTGGAGGGGGTTCTGTGGAAATGACATTTGTGGAGGGGGTTCTGTGGAAATGACATTTCTGGAGGGGGTTCTGTGCACCATCTGTGTACAGAACACCTCTCAGGTAGACATTATGCATTTAATTTTTCAGCGCTGTAGATTGAAAAGGCAAAATAATGAAAAAAAAAAATCATTCAATTACAATATGACTTGTGTCACAGTTGTAAGTGATGAATTATCTTTTTTTTTTTTTTATTTTTAATTTTTTTTTTCCCCTGCGAAAGTGGAGTTACCCTGTAAGCGCTACAAGAAATCGCACCTCATTCATCTACTCCACACAGAAAATGTGTGCACTTGGTTGCGATGGCAAAACAGTACACCCCTCCCGCAATCAGTCTATTGTTAACCACCTTGAATTCAATTTAGACCATGGGAGATTTGATGGCAGGAGCAAGTCATGCGGAAGAACCAGTGTGTAAAACCTGGTTCTATTGGGTGGATTTCCAAACAACGGAATTGCGTATGTTGTTAGAGTCCATCAATGAGTTGCTATGAAGCTTTATCCTTTGCGTTCTTCCCACTCCCCCAACTATCCTCTCCTTCCACCCACAGCTTTTTCCTCTCAGCCCAGCACCCTTTTTGTGTGCTCTCCTTCCCTCTCTTCCTTCTTTTGTTTCTCTCACTTTTCTTGAGCTGGTCACTACTCTGGACCTTCCTTTGGCTTCACAAGTTTTCTTCATTCTACGTAAACAACTTTAACAAGTGTCAAATGACTCTACACATCAAGCTAGGATGGTTGGATCCCTCAAGAGAGTGGAGGACCCTTTCTCCAAAGCTCACAGGACACTCAGTACAGACCTCAGTACAGTGAGGAACAGAAGTATTTGAATACCCTGCGATTTTGCAAGTTCTCCCACTTAGAAATCATGGAGGGGTCTGAAATTCACATTGTAGGTGCATTCCCACTCTGAGAGATAGAATTTAAAAAAAAAATTCAGGAAATCACATTGTATGATTTTTAAAGAATTTATTTGTCTTGCACTGCTGAACATAAGTATTTGAACATCTAAGAAACAGCAAGAAGTCTGGCTCTCAAAGACCTGTTACTGTGCCTTTAAAAAAAGTCCACTTCTACTCCACTCATTAATCTAACTTAGTAGCACCTGTCTGAGCTCTTTAAAGACACCTGTCCACCCCACAGTCAGTCAGACGCCAACTACTACCATGGGCAAGACCAAAGAGCTGTCAAAAGACACCAGAGACAAAATTGTGGACCTCCACAAGGCTGGAAAGGGCTACGGGGCAATTGCCAAGCAGCTTGCTGAAAATAGATCAACTGTTGGAGCAATTGTTCGAAAATGGAAGAGGCTAAAGACAACTGTCAGTCTCCCTCGGACTGGGGCTCCATGCAAGATCTCACCTCGTGGGGTATCACTGATGATAAGAAAGGTGAGGAATCAGCCCAGAACTACAAGGGAGGAGCTGGTCAATGACATGAAGAGAGCTGGGACCACAGTTTCAAAGGTCACTGTCAGTAGGACACTACGTCGTCATGGTTTCAAATCATGCATTGCAAGGAAGGTTCCCCTGCCCAAGCCATCACATGTCGCAGGCCCGGCTTATCTGAAGTTTGCCAATGACCATCTGGATGATCCAGAGGAGGCATGGGAGAAAGTCATGTGGTCAGATGAGACCAAAGTAGAACATTTTGGTCTAAACTTCACTCGTCTTTTTTGGAGGAAAAACAAGGATGAGTTGTATCCCAAGAACACCATCCCTACTGTGAAGCATGGGGGTGGTAACATCATGCTTTGGGGGGTGCTTTTCTGCGAAGGGGATAGGATGACTGCATTGTATTAAGGAGAGGATGAATGGGGCCATTTATTGTGAGATTTTGAGCAACAACCTCCTTCCCTCAGTCAGAGCATTGAAGATGGGTCGTGGCTGGGTCTTCCAACATGACAACGACCCGAAGCACACAGCCAGGATAACCAAGGAGTGGCTCCGTGAGAAGCATGTCAAGGTTCTGGAGTGGCCTAGCCAGTCTCCAGACCTAAATCCAATAGAACATCTTTGGAGGGAGCTGAAACTCCGTGTTGCTCAGCGACAGCCCCAAAACCTGACAGATCTAGAGGAGATCTGTGTGGAGGAGTGGGCCAAAATCCCTGTTGCAGTGCAAACCTGGTCAAGAATTAAAGGAAACGTCTGACCTCTGTAATTGCAAACAAAGGCTTCTGTACCAAATATTAACACTGATTTTCTCAGGTGTTCAAATACTTATGTTCAGCAGTGCAAGACAAATAAATTCTTTCAAAATCATACAATGTGATTTCCTGAATTTTTTTTTTTTTAAATTCTGTCTCTGAGTGGGAATGCACCTACAATATGAATTTTAGACCCCTCCATGATTTCTAAGTGGGAGAACTTGCAAAATCGCAGGGTGTTCAAATACTTCTGTTCCTCACTGTATGTCTAAAACACCTAACTCTGTTTCAAAGACCGCTCTTGATTAACTGAAAAAAGGTTTTCTCCTGTCAGGGAATGTTCTAGATATGCCTTCATGTACCTCTCACAAATTGGCTGAATTAGCTGATGTTTATAATGGATTGAGGAATATCTTGGAATATACATGATCTCTTTTTTTCAGTCATTGTCTATATATATTTGGAACACACAGAAATTAGGACACATTGTCAGCAATATTGTTGATGTAGGCTTGATGGACAGTTTGATATCTTCAACTTCTGTGGTTTTGCTGTTTGCATCTCAACTGTATGTCCACCTTAAACCCGAAAAACAGCCAAAAGTGACAGTCACAATGCGTTCATATGAAAACAACACTTCTGAACGTTCCCCAGATTTGCCGGGTAAAAGTCATGAAGTAATTCACAAGCTCATTGGCAAGCACCTTCCATCTCCCCGAATGCAGGAATTCTTTCCCACAGAATTTATGAAGCTTTTTACCTGTTGGGGGGAGGGATGTTGGAGGTTTCACAAGAGGGACTGGGATTTTAAAACTGTTTATCAGCATTACAGTGACATGGGGTTGTGTTACACCATCAGCATACTTTTGTTTCGGTTGCAGACCAGCGAGTCAGGCAGCGTTGATGAGATGCAGAACCAGCTCCTGGAATGGCATGAAATGAGTGCAGAGAGTGACATAACACCGGAGCGGGAAGAGACGTCTGCCATGGCTCTTAGGATGGCACAGATAGAAGAGGAGAGAGAAGGTAAATTCTCCTATTTCCAATTCATTATAAAATGTCACTGTTCAGTTACATGTGTCTGGATGCGAGCCATATACTGTCCATTATCTTTCACTGAGCTCATTTCCTAAGTGCTGGGTATCACTTTCTCACAGCTGTAGAGAACAGACCATACCTTGCCTTCCCTAGCATGTCATCGGTCAGTTCACAGTGCAGTGTTGGCCAACAGGCAGCAGTTTTCCCTTTAAGGAATTAAATAATCATCTGTGAATTCAGCAGTGGGTATCCATTGACCATTTTGGTTTGTCATTGTTCCCTTGAGATTAGAGCAGCCTGAATTTTCTCTTGAGTGGAAAGATATTCGCATGCAATATGATCAAGCATGTCTAGATCTTTAAAACAAAAAAAAAAAAAAACCTTTTTTTTTTTTTTTTTTTTTTTTTGTCATAGCATGCAAGGACTGTCTGAGCACTCTGTAATGTCCACAGGTTACTTTAGTGTGTATGTCTGGGCAAAATAATGAAAAAAAAAAAAAAACCACAGCTGTTAAAATCTGCAAAAAATCTAGGGACCTCCTAACTTCCTTTTAGTAAGCTGATAACTCTACCTCTGCTGATTTTAAATTGCAAGCAGTGTTGTCAGCCTTGTTCAGTTCTCATTTGCTGGATTTCAGAACACTTCCCTCTCTTATGTCCGTGGTGTGTTCTGTAGTCCAGCAGGAGAGACCTAGCTGGCTACACGGGCATTTTGGTGCAGCAGAGTTAGCATTGTCAACTCGCTACTGGAAGATAGGAACTTTCTGGATTTTTGGAAAGCATTTTTTCTTCCATTGAGGGACACTGAAAAGTCTTAAACCTCCAGAGGACTTACCCCCTTCCTGACCAGGCCATTTTTTGCGATGTGGCACTGCATTATTTTAACTGAGAATTGTGCAGTCATGCAACGCTGCACCCAAAGTAAATTTATGTCCTTTTTTCCCCACAAATAGAACTTTCTATCGGTGGTATTTGATCATCTGTGCGTTTATTTTTTGCGCTGTAAACAAAAAGACCGACAATTTTGGGAAAAAAAAAAAAAAATATTTTTTACTTTTTGCTATTAAACATGCAGTAAAAAAGTTTAAAAAAATCAAACTTCATCATAACTTTAGGCCAAAATGTAATCTGCTCCATGTCTTTGCAGAAAAAAAAATCCCAATACATGTAAATTAGTTGGTTTACATGAAAGTTGTAGCATTTACAAATGGCGGTATATATACTGGAATTTTTTTTTTTTACTAGTATTGGCAGCGATCAGCGACTTATAGCGGGACTGCGGTGGGTATTCTGACACTGAGGGGGAACTGACTTGGTGTCGCTGACATCCCCAGTGACACCAATACAATGATCAGTGCTAATAAAAAGCACTGACACTGTGCTGCTAATGGCACTGGGCAGGAAGGGGTTAATATGTGGGGCGATCAAAGGGTTAACTGTGTGCGTGCTTTACACTGTAAGCACACTGTTTTGTATGCTCTGCTTTGCTGCAAAAGTGCATGCTGGTGGTAGAAGGAGCTATACCCTGGATTGGCCTGTGTTTGTTTTTTAATTTGCCACTGTCCAGACCCTCCTGTAGGCAGCAGTATAGCCCAAAGGTATAAGACTTCTGTGTTCACAATGGAAAAGGATTTTACAGTAAGTACAAAAATCCTTATTCTGTACTTTTTAAAGTGCCAAAGCATAGCAAAGTGCATGTGCGCTGTAGAGTTGTACTGAATGTGTTTTTCTTTTGTTTTTTTGCCCAGACATTCACTATGAAAAATTTATTGGACCCATAGAAGTGGTATTGCACTTTTTTATATAGGCCAAAATTATTACTCTGCAAGAAAAGTGTAAGAACTCTACTCTGTTCAAGTGAAATAGTATTTTAAATCTCCTTAGCTTCCACAGCTCTTAAAGGTTCCTCCTGCTGACCTTCACGAATTTGCTGACTCCTGTAATGATGTGGAGGTCAGCAAGAGGAACCAGTAAGTGCTGCTTTGGACCCAGGGGATTGCTACTTCTGGAAGTGTCCAATTCCCAGCAGACTTCAGAAGGCCATTCCCCTTGAACAACATTTAGAGGGTGCAGACAGTAGGAAAGGTAGTTGCACTGTTTTGTTTAGAGGGTATTTGTTTTGGTCAGTATTAAGATGTGGGGTCAACACGATGGAAGGAGAGGTTAATAACAGCAGCAGCTTCCTCCTTTCTTCAGTACACCTTCAGGTAGTTTTATCTCCGTTCAGCAGATAACTGTACAGCAGGGGCGGACTGACAACTCATGGGGCCCCAGGGCAATAGGGGATCATGGGGCCCCTGTGTTCTTGCCCAAACTCAAAAAAGCCTATGAAAAAGGTACCAGGGGCATCTCATGGGGCCCCCTACTGACCCCAGGCCCTCAGGCATTGCCCGAGTTTCCAAATGGTCAGTCCACCCCTGCTGTACAGCCATCTTACCTGCAGCCTTGATCCAAATGGAAGACTTTCTGGCTTGTTTTATATATAACACTTATTTTATGACCATGTATGAGCTTATTTTTGTCTATGGTATTTTATAATCTTTATTAATGCAAAATCAACATAACTGGTGCTGGGGCTTTAACATGTAATGCTAGATTTTCTAATACATGCTATTCTGGGTCTGTTTTCACTAAATCACTGTAGGATACCAAGGTCTAATTCATAAGAGGCCCTGTCACCTTTAAGATATAATTAATTAGTTTGATGCTCGTTATGAAATATTCTTTTATTTAATTTTTATAACCTATATTTGCACAAAAATGTTTTTTTGGAGCTTTAGTAGAAACCCCGGGCCTGATTTTTGGATGAAAATCTAACCTATAGAGTCTGCGATTCTCCTTCATCCTCATAATCAAAAAAAAAAAAAAAAAAAAGTAATTTTTTTAAAATCATCTACTGCCTGACATTGCTTTATACAGAGTGAGCGCATAGGCTGAGCAGTAGCATTAAAGCGGAGTTCCACTCACCCTGTCAAAAAATAAAACTGTAGCTGCAGACTTTTAAAAAACAGCCGCTTACCTGTCCCTTGATCCCGTAGTGTGTCCCCCGCAGCCCGTTTCACCAGCCGTCCTGTATTCCAGGAGGCCATGGCATCTTCAGTGTGGGCACCTGGCTGTGATAGCTTGCGGCTTCACAGCCGGGTACCCGCTGCGCATGTGTGAGTAGCGCCGCGCTTCATGAATGGTCCTATAGTCTTCTGGGACCTGTCACATGTCTCAAAAGACTACAGGGAGGGAGGACACCTTCCGCTTCTGATCGCCTAGGCAATTGGACCGGAAGTGAGAGCGGCACACCTGTCAAATTCGGGTACCCGCTTCTTATGAGTGCATTACCTAATTTGGCTCTTTGTGCTGCTTCTTCCTCACATTCCAGCCATACATATTATGTATTAATGATTACAGAGCTGTATTCATTTGTGTACTTTTAATTTTTAATAGATTAAGGAATGACAAATTTAAATAGAATTATTGACTTTAGAGATACCTTAAAGCGGAGCTCCAACCAAAAGGGGAAGTTCCTCTTTAAGGACTGTTCCCCCGCTCCCCGTTAATGATTGGCACCTTTGGGGAGCAGGGGAGCGGGTACCCGAATTAGACAGGTACCCGCTCCCAATTCCAGTCCGATCGCCTAGGCAATCAGAAGCGGAAGGTGTCCTCCCTCCTTCCCTGTAGTCTTTTGGGACACGTGACAGTTCCCAGAAGACTACAGGACCATTCATGAAGCGCAGCGCTACTCGCAGATGCACAGTGGGCACCCGGCTGTGAAGCCGCAAGTTATCACAGTTGGGTGCCCACACTGAAGATGCTGGCCTCCTGAAATACAGGACGGGCTGTAGGGGACACACCTCGGGACTGAGGGACAGGTAAGTGGCTGTTTAAAAGTCAGCAGCTACAGCTTTTAGCTGCTGACTTTTTTTTTGACAGGATGAGTGGAATTCCACTGTAAAGAAGCAGTAAACTCGCTGTTGTGATTTTTACATATAATATATATATATATATATATATATATATATATATATATATATATATATATATATATATATATATATATACCTTATAACAAAGATAGCTGTAGGTAAAATGAATATCTCCTAAACAGGTACCCTTTAGGAGATATTCCATCGAGCTGCAGCCAGTGCTGTCACTGGTATGCCGTTCCTTCAGAGCTTTTTTCCGTGCGCAGGAGTGACATCATTGCGGCTCGGCCAGTCAGACGGCTGGGGCCCGCGTACCGGGAATGAAGCCCCGGTGAAGATGAAAGCCCTGTCAGCGGTGACAGCGTGCCACTGGAGGGCCTTGTTTTAAGGTAAGTTTTTCATAATGTGCTAGTATGCAATGCATACTAGCACATTATTATATTGCTTTGCAGGGGGAAACTTTTTTTTCTTCTTTTTTAAAGCTTTACTACCGCTTTAAGTTTTATCGAAGATAGCTTTCCCAGGTGATTTGGGGGAATTCAGTAGGATGATTGTTGTAATGCAGTGGTATGTAGGATGCATGTCCTAAAATTGGTACCTAGAACCGAGAGTCAGGACAACTTTTTTGTGTAAAGAGCCATCAAATTTCAAAAACGTCATAATGTGTATCACATTTATGAGTACGATATTTTAAGAGGACAGGTTATCTCTTATGAATTCCACCTTTATCACACTTGGTATAATCCACAGTAGTATATCAGTCTCTAGTTGATTGATCTTGTTGGTTTAGCTGTTCGAACTGAGCATGACTCCCATTTTCTTTTTTTTTTTTTTTTTTTTTTTTTGTTTTGTTTTTTTTTTTTTTGTCTCACCGTTAAACGAGCCAAATGCTCAGCATTACTCCACTCCATCCTTCTACCCCACACTGTGATTTGGTCAGCCACAGAGAACATAGTTTCCCATCAGTTTTGTGCATGCAGGTTCCTTTTCATCGTGTCGGCTGTCGCTGTACTGCTGATGCGTTCCCCCTCAGAGCATTATCTGGAGTTGGAAACAGCCAGCAGTGCAGAGCCGGCCACACCACACAAGTTGGCTTTTATTTACTTTTCTGTTTAACCTCATTACCAGTCCTTTCTCATTGGTTTATGATTTCATCTAACTTCTAGTTTGTCCAGCTCATTCCTGTCTTGTCTGCTTGGTATTAATCGATTGTGCTTGTTGGGGAGTATAAATTCATGCAGTGTGATTCTCTAACATAAGAGTCTATCAATGAAATGAAATCTGAATCTGGTGCAGTGCCCTGAAGTCTTGATGTATGACTTATTTTATCATTCATGGCATCGGATCCCAGCACTTGTGAAATTAAGAAGGCCGTGCACAACAATTCTGTTGGAGAACCACTTTTATTTCTGCATCAATTTTTAAAAGCAGAAGCGAGATCTGTGTAGCACCTGAGTTCAGCCATAAGCTAAAGGAAGACATTTTTCATTTATCTTCTGATTTGCTGATTTGGTATTATTATTATTATTATTATTATTATAGTCATTCTGCTGAAACAAAATAAACTAATGTGCAGGATATTGAATCAATACAATTATAGATGTCTCACCTAAGCCTACTGGACAATTATATACAATTTCTGTATATTAAAGGCCAAGTCCACCTTTTATACCATGTTACACCCATATTTAGGGCGTAACCTCTCATATGGTGCCAAGCCAAAACAGCAGAGGAACTTTTAGTTGTCAATGGAACACAAGTGTGGCGATCACATTCGTAATCCATTGACACTTCCTAGAGCTCCATAACCGAAAGTCCATACCTCCGTATGGGCATAGAGGTAGAAGAAAAGCCTGCAGGAGTCTGTGTATTGCCGCGGTGATCCACTGATCATAGTTGCAATGCTTTGCAGGTTTTTATGCAAACAAATAACAAAAGCAAGTTTTTTTTTTCTGCAGATATGGGTGCATATTATTATTATTATCAGCGTGCCACCTCTGCAACATTGGGAACATGATTCACCCTAAAAATTGGTGGAACATGTTCCCAAAGGTGAACTTATCCTTTAATACAGGGCCAACAAATAACTTGGTGCTTAGACTGTGTTAGTTTTAACACTGCAGTTTTTTGTTTTTCTCTGTAACAGTTTTTTATTGTTTGTTGATACTGCCAGTAGATCCATTATCTTTCTACTTCCCGTAACAGGTTAAGCTGCCCAGCAAAAGACAGATGTAGGTATGAAAAAAGAAACCTATTACACCGGTGGGGCGCTGTCTACAACAGCCAGGATTTATTCATATGGCTTAAAGCTCAACTCCGTGTCTACTGCCACTTTTAAATAGTTTGTCTGGGCCAAATTGGCCCAAACAATTTACTTCACCAAGGGATGCCACTGCTGTCAGTGCTGTATAAACTGTATGTAGCATCAGCTACATCCAGTATGCAGCGATGTGTTCCAATGGCATCTCATGAGACTTCATGTCTGCTGCCGAGACAAAATCAAGTTTGGCTGAGCACCTCTCAGCCATTCATAAGAAGCCATGTGTTTTTATCAATGTATACAAGGCTTCCCCTAATTGGCTGAGGTGAAAAGCGTGATGTCATCCATCCACCTCAAGCTATCAGAAGAATCCTTTTAAATATTGGTAAAAATACAAGGCTTCCTGTGAATGGCTGAGAAGCACTCAGCCTGATTCGATTTGTCTCGGCAGCAAACGTGAAGTCTCCCAAGGCTTTAGGCTTTAGCTGCTCATACAAGGATTGAATTAAGGCCTGTTCAGCAAGGACCGGCAGAATTTTGATCCATGTACGGGCACTGTGGTTGAGCAGAAGTTGATATACCAATTGACTTCTATTCAACCGCCCTGTTGGAAAATTTCCGCTCGATCAGCACTGCATGCTGTTGCCTGCAGTACTGACCTGTGTGTTCTGATAGCAGGGAAAGCAAGTGTATAATCCAAATGCACACGTTCCTGTGTTCAACATTTTGGCGTCTCGCAGGACCCCTTCATCAGGAATGTGACCATGGTCCTGCGAGACTCCGAAACGTTGATTTGCTGTAACTATATGATTGTTTATTAAAACTTTTGGACCGATATGGGTGATCCTCAGTGTGCTGGTGACATTTTCCCTAGCTGATGGCAGGGAAGTCTCACTGCTGTCAGATTACAAAGACACAGTAGGAAGGATTCTGCCATCCACTTTAAATGTGTGGATGGGGTGATCGGGTCCTTTTTTTTTTTTCTTTTTCATGTTATATGCTGGTTTAAAAAACTGACCCCTTTTTTGACCATCTTTTTATTTGTTTGCCTCTTAATTAAAGTCTGTTTAAAACTAGATGTCCATTTAAGACTACCCTTTCCAGGGTGACAACATTGCTGTGAGATTTACTTGCAAACAAATAGCACTGCCAGCCTATTAAAAGAAATGGCAAAATGAATGGACCTACCAGTAGGATCAATTGCTAATAAAACTGTTTCATTGGGGGACTTGGGGAAAACAAACACTGCTGTGGTAATGTAATTGGCAGATTGCATCATACACTTTACTCTCAAAGGACATGAATACTTTACTAATTATGTTACATTGAATATTTATGAAATACTCCATGGTAGTAAAAAGCCCATCAAATGGCAGTTGAACTCACTTTCAAGACGCTGAAGACTGGTAAAAGAGAAAACTTTCTGCATTCCAGTTAAAATAAGACGGGAAGGTTTTTATTTGCAAGTTAGAATACTCTAATGGTGCTTGCACTTAGCAAAACACATCTCGCTTCTGTTTTAGTCATGCTTTCCCCTAAGCTTTGCATGGTAAATGTTACTCACCAGATTAACATTTTGTCAGATCACAAAACAGATGGGAATGTACTTTCTACAGTTGTAGAATTTTCTCCAACAAATTCACTTTTTACTGCTAATGTGTGACTTTAAAGTGATCTATAATTTTTTCTGTCACAAATGAATCCAATGGTTATTGCATAATTACATTGTTTGATGCCTTGCATCCCAGTCATGTTACTTCCTCTGAATTAACGGACATTGTTTATTGCACTAAAAATGAGATTTATTTTTTATGTGCATACGATGCTGAGTAATCATCTGTATTGATCTGATCCTGTGTACTTCCCTCTAATTGACTAGATTATTTAACGTGCACGTCATAACAGTTTTCAAGGCAAGTCCGGTTGTTGTTTGGCAAAACATGGCACTGTTCTGTCAAAAAGCTTTTTGGTGACTTGTGCAGTGTGCTGTGTGGCTAGGGGGAACTCACAAGATGAATGTGCTGGGTTGTTAGTGTGGGCTGGTGGGGTTCAGTGGAGCTATGATGTGTAAAAAAAAAAAAAAAAAAAAAAAAAAAACTGCTTTTCCTGTGGCACAAAACTGATTGAGGATGACTGGTTCTTTCCTGGCTGCTCCGATCCAGCCATGGACTCAGGGCAGATGGAACTGGAGGAGGAGCTGAGCGCAGCTCGCGGAATGGGAAAAATGAGACCACCACGGAGGAAGGGAAGCAGAGGAGCCACCAAACTGCAGGTCAGTTCTTGCATTCTCTGTCTTGTTTTAAAGTTGGAACATGCTTAAAGGATAAATGCACTTGTAACCATTGCACACAATGTTAATATGAACCTGATCTGTCCTAAGAAAAGGCCTGTCCTAATACAGACTAAAGTACATGTGTTGCTAGTCTTTAGCTGTGTCTGTGTCCCTGACTTCTCTCTGAGTTGAGATTATGGCCACCTATTTAAAAATAAAAAAAATGTGCTGCAACACTTAATTGTAAGTTCATCTTCTTTAGTCCCCCTGCAAAGTCTCACAGATTAAGGTGTTACTAAACCCAAGACCTTGCATTCACATATCTGGTCTCCCCAGACTCTGCATTCACTATATCTGGTCTCCCCAGACCCTGCATTCACTATATCTGGTCTCCCCGGACCCTGCACTCACTATATCTGGTCTCCCCCCGGACCCTGCACTCACTATATCTGGTCTCCCCGGACCCTGCATTCACTATATCTGGTCTCCCCGGACCCTGCACTCACTATATCTGGTCTCCCCGGACCCTGCATTCACTAAATCCGGTCTCCCCGGACTCTGCATTCACTATATCTGGTCTCCCCGGACCCTGCATTCACTATATCTGGTCTCCCCGAACCCTGCATTCACTATATCTGGTCTCCCACAGTACACAGCACATGGAAATGCAATTATTTTAGTAAATATAAACTGCTAAATACCTTTTTTCATCAGCATTATATAGCAATCTTGTGACTTCTATCAGTGTCCAGCAGAGCGATGGTTAAAGCTTGGAGGAGTTTTCATTCTGCTCTGACTGTCCTGTGGGGCTCCATAACACCTGACCCACTTCCTGGACAGTGCCAATTGGTCCTGTGCTGATCACATGCACCCTCCCAAATTAAAAAAACAAAAACAAAACTAACAATATACACTAAACTGAGCATGTGCAGAGTGACTCCTGGAGCTCTGTACTATCAGCAGATGTACTGGGGACAGTAGAAGGGGAGGATCAGAGAAGACAGGACCAAAAACCTTTTTACACAATGTGAACGATTAACCCCTTAGGTCCCACAGTGAGTATAACAAGCATGCTTTACTGCATCTACAGACTGATATTACAGTTGTGGGTTTAGTAACACTTTAATGTTGATCCTGCCAAGTCCACATTATGTAGCTTTTTCTGATGACCCTTTTGTAGGCTGTGCCTGCTTGCTCTACAGTGGGATGAAAAGGCATTTGTTGCAGTGTGACTGTCAGCATTGTCACTAATTCACAAGCACGTTGCTTGTCAAGTCAGCACCTGTCCACACTTAGCCCCGCCTCTGCTTTCTGGATTGACAGCACAGCCCCTGCAGCTAATATTCTCCCACTGTGATCTGCAGTGTCTGGGAGGGGGAGTGTATGAAGCCAAATAAAGGGGGTATTTGACTCACTCGGAGGTCAAGTATTTTTTTTTTCTTTATTATCACACTTTTTGAGGTTTGTGCATCACATAGTAGTTGGACTGTCACACAGGAGCCCTTAAATTCCACTCTTTGTTATGTCCTATCCCAATCTTTCAGTGGCCAGATTGAAGAGCTCCCATTGGCAGTAAAGGCATTTTTTTTTCTTGTTAATTGGAGGAAACCGTATTAGAGAATGCCTTACCTGTAGAATGTGTTCTGACCCTGCTCTAGGCATGACCTCTGTAGGCCTGTTTAGGCGCATTTTTTCTCTGGATGGTACACAGCAGGGTTTGCATTTAAAGCCCATTTGTAGTTTTTTTATGTCATGTGATAAATGGTTTTCCTGTCTTTAGATTTCTAACCCTCCCACAGAAAAAAAACATCATCTTTGTCATTATGTTGTAGGTGAAGATCACTACGCTTTGTGTAAGAGCAGCAATGATCTGACACCCCATGCTTAGTCGGAGCTACAGCAGAGCAATTAGCAAAGCCCAATCTCCCTGCAGAGCGCAGCAATCTCTATCTGCAGCATATTGCCAGAAATAGTTCTCTGCTGGGGAAGAATTACAAGAATGACAAACAGCAAGACACTTAGTGTATGTAAATCCTGAACATGCTCATCTTCTCAGTGCACTATAGTATACATTGTAGTAACATCCATGTCAATGGTTGTTCTAAAACAGGGGTGTCAAACTGGTGGCCCTCCAGCTGTTGCGAAACTACAAGTCCCATTATGCCTTTGCCTTTGGGAGGCTTGCTTGTATTCAGGGTGGATTTGATTTAAATCACGATTTAAATCACTAGTCAGTAAGGCTTGATTTAAATCCTAGTTTTCTACATAAAGACTAATTCTTCCTGGTATAACTTTAATATGCAAGTAGATGAAGATTTTTAGAATAACAACTTTTCATATTAGTTTTTTTATCCCCAGTTTAATAGGTTAATCATTCATATTTGGACAACGTTTCTGTTGTACTTAGGAAGGAGAAAAATAATCATTACCTTAATAACAATTTAAATAGATTTATTCATCTGAAACAATAACATTCCAGCATATGTGATTTGCTTAAACATCCATGTTTGTTAACTAATTTGGCTAAACAAAATATATATATTTTAAGAAACTTAGACTGTCAGCCCCTTCCTCCTCACACTTAGTTTCACTTTCTTCTTGTGCAGATCTATTCCACTCCAAACAATCAGAAAAATATTGTTTTCTATTCTATTCACTGAACTTCTTGAAACTTAGCACTGAAGGGGTTGATTCTGTATTCATAGGTTTGTAGAAGTTAGGATGAAGGTCTTTTTCTTAACTCTGTTCATGTTATAACATTTTTGCTGTGAAGAAGAGGCATGTGATCTCCGCTGAGTCAAATTCAGTTTTGAGAACTGCAAAAGTAAACCAAACATCTGTGATAATATCTTGTAGGTAGAGAAACTGCCCAATAATCTTACAAAAACCTCTGGAAGAGCATGACATTGTGAATGGATTCATGGAATTTATTTACCAAAAAAATTAAACATATACAGCCTTATTCTACATAATTAAAAAAACTAATCTTTATTTCATGATGGAATAACCTTTGGATGGTAATATATTTTCCTCAAAAAGCATTTTATTAAAAAAAAATCAGATTTAAATAAAAAAAATCTGATTTTTTTGATTTTTTTAAGAACCTTTTTGTGGTTTGTAAAGCAGTCATGTGACCGCTTTTTCTTTGATAATGTACAGGTAGTGCATGGGGTGAAGACTTCTTGGATTAACCAGATAAACAGTGACCACCTCTTTGCTGGCCATTGTTTTACTGTGTTGCAGTTTTCTGTATGAGATCCATTGTCACTCAGTGTGCTCAGTGTGAAAGGGCAAAGCTATGGGCAGTCAGACTAACTAGGGAACTTGCAGGCTTGCTGTACTTTTTGCAAGCTGAGTTACTCCTTTCTTTTAATGCTAGTCCGGGTCTGAACCTGTGGATAGACTTGACAGAATGCAGTAGGAAACTGTGAAATAAGAAGGGAGACTGGCAGGATCACCAGGTAGTTCTTCATGTTTGAAAGCCAAAGCACGTTGCCTGACGGGTGATACGAGTTGAACTAGAAACATCTAGAGAACTCTAGAATCTTTTTGCAAACATATTCATTAAACCATCCTGATTTCACCTAAAAAAAAAAAACTATAAGTGGGCTTTAAAGAGAATGACCAATAAATATAAGGAGAAAAATGATCACAGTAATCCTAACAAGTCCTACTCTTCCTTTTCTAGCAAGTAGAGCCTATTATGTCAGGAACTTAACTAGTTATTTTCTGCTTAATCTAGGATGAATTTGATTATAGCAACAAGAGTTTTGAAGAGCAGAGCTTACCCATGGACAACAGCGATACTATAGAAGGCGAGAACATGGGAGGTTGGTGGCCTGAATTCGGTTCTCCTAACTCAGGTGTGACCCCACTAGACAGTTTGTTGCCCCATCGTCTGTCCCACCCAGCAGACAAGGGCCGGAGCATGCACTGCGTCACCTCGTGCCTTTTTTTGTCCAATCCTTTGGTTTGTGATTTTTTTTTTTTAAACTAACAGCTTGTTAGTTTTGGCTCCTAACATGTTAAAGGGACACTATCACTAGACTAAGGATACATTTGCTAGTACTATACATACAGAAATGCATATATAGTTAGCAATATAGTTTATTTCGTACAGATCAGTTTTGATAAAAAATGTTTTAGGCATTAGTTAATAATATAGATGTTTGCATGAGAAAGCTTGGTCTTGTCTCTAGGCCCCCCATGCATTTCTCATTGTAGTGATTCCTCCAGTAGTTTGTTACTTCAGTAAGACAGACAAGTGTTTTTAGATTTGCAGTGTTAAATTAGTAAGTATTCTTCCATTCTGAGTCCTTGAGAGATAGATACGCCAGGGTGGATTAATTCCTCCAGCAGCTTTCCAAGTTCAAGTAATTGCTTTAAATTGACTGAAGCTGGCCATGCACTGATCATATTCAGCCAGTTCAGCAGGGACCGGTCGAATTTAGGTCAATGCGTGGCTGCCCTTACTCAACAGATGTCAACCCAAATGATCAACTTCTTTTGAGCAGGGACGGCCAGCATTGAGAGGAATTCCTCCATCCACCTCATTTGTGTGAATAGAGGAACCTGTTTTTGTTTTTTTTTTCCCCATTCAGCCTGCTAGCTGAATGGAAAAAAACAAACAGTTTATGGGCAGCTTTATAATTTCATTAGGTTAAAATTATATGTCTGTGAGCTGAAGTAAATACCTTGAAGCAATGGACAATGTAATATATTATAACACTACTTAACATTTGATGCAGGCACTAGAATTTTATGTCTGAATAAAATAAAAAAAACATATTCTGTACATCTCTGGCATACATGCATATTTCTGCATTCTTTGATCCTTAAAAATACATGTTTATTTTTTAGTAATCCAGTGAGTTCCTCACTTCCTGTCTGAGAGGACAGCATAGTGCCTCTTCAGCACTGAAATCCCAAAAAGGGTTGTCAGCCCTGCCTGTTAGACTACAGAACACCCCTCACATATTATGGAAATGAAAGGATTGGGGGTTCTTTAGTTCATCTGGCAGAGTTAACAAACCTGGTTGGGATTTAAGTGCTGCAGAGGTACTGTTGTGTCCACTCCAACAAAGTCAGAAGGTCACTGGTTTCTGCCAGATCATCAGGTATTTCTCTGTACTAGCAACGTTTAAAAAAAAATGCATTGCACTGCTACATGTACTATATACACTATTTTGCCAAAAGTATTGGAACACTCCTCCAAATCATTGGATTCAGGTGTTCCAATCACCTCCATGGCCACATGTGTATAAAAAATCAAGCCCCTAGGCATACAGACTGCTTCTACAAACATTTGTGAAAAATGGGTCGCTCTCAGGAGCTCAGTGAATTCAAGTGTAGTACCGTGATAGGTTGCCACCTGTGCAATAAGTCCATCCGTGACATTTCCTGGCTACTAAATATTCCACGGTCAACTGTTCGTGGTATTATAACAAAGTGGAAGCAACTGGGTACAATAGCAACTCAGCCACAAAGTGTTAGGCCCTATTAAATGACAGAGTGGGGTCAGGGCATGCTGAAGTGCACAGAAGTCGCCAACTGTCTGCAGAGTCAATAGCTAAAGACTTCCAAACTTGGTGTGGCCTTCAGATTAGCACAACAACAGTGCGTAGAGAGCTTCATAGAATGGGTTTCCATGGCCGAGCAGCTGCCCCTTAGTTCCAGTGAAGGGAACTCTTAAGGCGTCAGCATACCAAGACATTTTGGACAATTTCATGCTCCCAAATTTGTGGGAACAGTTTGCGGATGGCCCCTTCCTGTTCCGACATGACTGCACACCAGTGCACAAAGCAAGGTTTGAATGAGAGAGTTTTGGGTGGAGGAACTTGACTGGCCTGCACAGAGTCCTGACCTCAACCCAATAGAACACCTTTGGGATGAATTAGAGTGGAGACTGCAAGCCAGGCCTTCTCATCTGATGTCTGTGCCTGACCTCACAAATGTGCTTCTGGAAGAATGGTCAAACCTTTCCAGAAGAGTTGAAGCTGTTATAGCTGCAAAGGGTAGGCCAACTCAATGTTGAACCCGGACTAAGACTGGATGCCATTAAAGTGCATGTGCGTGTAAAGGCAGGCGGCCCAATACTTTTGGCACTATAGTGAATGTTTCTATGCTCTGACATGCATTTTAATTTAAACAAGAGTTGTTTGTACTGGACAGGGAAGAAGGTTTAGATTAAATGACATAGGTCCCACAAAGTATGGTGTTACATAGGTTAAAAGAAGCAAAAAAAAAAAGTCCGTTGAGTTTAAGTTAATAGAAAAAAGATGAATACCTTGAAAACATATAAAAAAAAAAAACCCATATGTATGCTGATTCAGAAGGCAAAAAAATCTTAAAGCATGGAACAATTTGCAGCAGCAGGGCAAAACAACCCTTCCTGATCAAAAATCCTGGATATACCCCAGTTTCTAATGTTCTTGCTCATAAATGTACATTATAAGTAAGACGTTATAACATAAAGGTAGTATAGGAAGGGCTTTCTGCTATACAAGAAAGGATGGAAAAGCAGCTGTGACAGGGACTGGCTCCTGAACGAATAACATGGGAAATTCAAGAGATATAAAATATGCAAAATAGACATGTATAGAAAAACCATAGTATTCATTTTGGTATAAGCCGTAATGACTGGTAGTGTCCCTTTAAATTTGTTTATTTTGTGAATATGATTTTTGTTCATTTGTTCTGTTTTTTGTTTTTTAATTTTGAGGCATGTGCAAGCTGGATGAACTGCCTAGTTTGGCTCATGGGTATTGTGCAGCATTTCTTGTGGGTCTGGTAATGTTTTGTCTCCACCGTTGTATACGTTGCTCACTGCTGAATATGTTTCCACTTCTCTGTGTGTTGGTGAAGGTAAAGTACAATTTATTTGGATAGATGAGTAACAATTGCAGAGCTGGGGGTCTAGCCAGAACAAATTGTGATAACACCCCCCCGCCCCTGATATTTAAAGAAAAAATGTCCGAAATTAGATTTGTGAGTTTGCGTTTCCTACCTACCTCCATGAGTACTGATAACAATCATCTGAAGAGTCCATGACACCATTCCAGGTATCAGCCATTCAAAGTTTGTTCTTGGTTAGCGTAGGGAAAGGTTAAAAACCCTGTCAGAGTTTTATTTATTTTTGCTTTCTCTCTGTTCCTCTGAGGAGATTTCCCTTTTCGCCCTGTCTTGGAGAAGCAACAGGGAATGAGGCTAAATTAAGCTGGACTTACATGGGTTGAAATGTGGCCGGTTCAGCAGGGACTGGATGAATTTTGATCCATGTATGGGACAGGGTGGTTGGACAGAAAGTAATCTACTGATCAGCTTCTGTAAATCCACCCTGTTGGATTTTCTCTGCTGAAACAATGCCGCTGGCTATAGCCGCCAGTGCTGATCGGTGTATTTTGATGATGGGGAAGCCTCTCTGCCATCAAAATACAATAATTCAGCGGGGAGGATTCCCACATTCACAATGAGTGTGTGGATGGAAATTTATGACATTTTTTTTTCCTGTTCAGCCTGCTGGTTGTTTGAAATAAAATGACTTGCCTATGGGCTGCCTGAGGGTGTTTCATTTTTTAAGTGAAGATGTGTCCTAATCATGTGATTTACCCAAGCTTTGGCCTTTACATAATACTTAGGGGCACATTCTAGTTCAGGCAGAACACAGGAATCACAGCCCCCACCCATCGCACAAATCGAGGGTGACATCAATGGGGTGCTGGCTATTATTTATCTGATAAATTCCCAGAGACTAGCAGTAAAAATGCACACAGAACTCCTATCTGTACTACCCCAAAAAGCTGGGCGATACCTATATGCATGCAGTAACACTTTGACAACTTACTGCGTGTGGTTTTTAAACATGCGTTTACATGTGTTTTTAAATATTCATTTTTGTAGATTTAAAACTTAGTGCCATTTTTGTTTCTGCAAAGGAAAAAAAAAATCAATGAGAATTTTTTTTTTTTTTTTTTTGGCAGCCATAAAACCACACAAATAGTTATTTGTGTGCCTGTGATTTATTTCAGAGGACCTGCCTAACACACATTAAACAAAACCTATCACTATACACCTATAACTGCCATTGTAATACTAGCTACATACTCTGCCTGGTCACAGACCATACATGCAGCAAGTGAAAGTCAGAATAACATCAGGATTCTTTGTTTGCTCTGGGGCTTATTTATCGGCAGAGAGGATTTTGCAATCCACTGTCTGTTACCCCCGGTTCACATATATGTGGCCATGCAGGCCGCGTTTTGCACGGCCACGAGAGCCCATTCATTTGAATGGACTCCCATGCCCCGTGACACTCAGGGAAGAAAGTCCCTGCACTTCTGAAAACGCAGCCCGCACGAGAACCTCGGTTCTCAGTACGGTTGTGTTTTCCAGTGCGGGCGGCATTCCATTAGAACTAATGGCACCCGCCCGCAGGTCTGCATTCCTCTGTGCGGGTGGTGCAGCTGCATGGAATTTTCATATCCGCAGCAGCGCCACCACCTGCACAGATGTGAACCTAGCCTTATACTTCACAGTACTATTGTATAATGCGGCATGCCCATTCATAAAATGCAGGTCATGATATGTAGCGTGCAGCAAGGAGAACTCGGTGACAGGAGCTGGAATCAGTCATGTGCACTGCCAAAAAAGGATCCGGTGTGGTTTTCTGGCCACACTGAGGTGCATTGGGAGCTCATTCAAAATAAATGGGCTGCCTTAACACAGAGCACGGCTCAATGTAACACTGCATATAACATGCGTGTCTTGGCCCACTGAACAAGTGCTAACCTGGCCTTAGCGGGAGATTTTTACTTATTTACTTATTTCAGGTACATATATAGTGCCATCAATTTACACAGCGCTTTACATATATATTGTACATTCACATCAGTCTCTAACCGTCAAGGGTCGTACAATCTAAAGTCCCTAACTCACATTCATACAAATACATACTAGGGACAATTTAGACAGGAGCCAATTAACCTACCAGCATGTCTTTGGAGTGTGGGAGGAAATGGGACTACCCAGAGGAAACCCACGCAGTCACAGGGAGAACATGCAAACTCCAGGCAGGTGGTGCCAGGGTTGGGATTTGAACCAGTGACCCTAGTACTGCCAGGCGGAAGTGCTAACCATTTAGCCACTGTGTTTAAAATGCATTTTCATTCAATAATAAAACACAACATTCAAAAGCAGTAAATAAGGGAATGATGTAGAAGTTCATAACATTTAATTTACTTAAGCAATTTATTCTATACACTGTAAGTCACTTCCATACTCATTTGTGCATGCTGTATGATTGCTGTTCAATTTGCTTTGCAAATGTGCGGCTGTAAGTTCATTTGAATTGGCTTTCACATCATTTTTTTTCTTATGAGTTGCAAGCTCTATTTTAATGTAATACTTCATATTATTATATTTATTGATTGACGGAAGAGATTGTAGCTTTGTGAACTATCTTCGTGTCTGATACTCTGCTTTCAGATTCTGGTGCACATGGATTCTGAAACTTGCTCCACGCACCTCCATCTGCTGAGAGTCAGGCCCATAAAAGTGGGGAGATCAGTCGCTTGTGAAGAAGACTAAAAACTTGTGTTGTGAGAAATACACAAACTGCCATTGCTGATGTTTTCTTTGAAAAAAGTCTGGTTATCTGGCTTTTTTTTGCTAAGCCAATGGTTTTATTGTGAATTCCTAAATCGATTCGCTCATGCAGATCAGAAATACTGAAATTACTGGTTAGATGTTTGTCCTGAGTAAGTGAATTTTCATGGTCAAGTCAGCAATGGTAGCTTGTGATTTTTTCCTTTTATGACTGGTTTTCTTCAAAGCAAAGCTCCAGATGTCACTTGGGCTGAGACTTTTAAGTATTCGAAACATAGATGGTGGGCATGGTTTACATGTTATATGTACCTCTGCACTAGATTAACATGGCATGGTCCTTTTTATGGATAATCCACTCAGTCATATAAAGTCAAAGTTGGATGACATCCATTGAGCTAATAAATGCCTCAAACCAGGGGTGTCAAACTGGCGGCCCTCCAGCTGTTGCCAAACTACAAGTCCCATCATGCCTCTGCCTTTGGGAGTCATACTTGTAACTGTCAATCTTGCAATGCCTCATGGGACTTGTAGTTTGGCAGCAGCTGGAGGGCCGCCAGTTTGACACCTGTGCCTTAAACTGTCCTTAAATGGGTAGTTTGTTTGTTTTTGTTTTTTTTTCTAGCCAGTGAACAAAAAAAAAACAGATTTATCTATCCGCAACAACAAGGCGGATGAAAGAATCCCCACCACCAGGACATTGTATTTTGACAGCGGGACTCGCCATTGTCAGAATTCACTGATCAGCGGCTGCTGATCAAGAAAAGTTTTCCAGCATGTGTTTTCAATAGAAGTCAATCAACTTCAGGATTGTCACAGGGATGGTCACACCAGCCAGCCGAGTTCCAATCCCTTTATGACCAGCATAAAGTAGTACTAAACCCAAAAGCCAATGTTTTAGTGTAGCTTACCAATTCTTAGATGTGATTGCTACATTAGTTTTGTTTTCTAGGCTTGCTTTCTTATATTTGGCCAGTAAGTCTGTTTTTCAAAAGAACAAGCTCTCCCACAGAATGTATCGGTTACAGAGATGAGGCAAAACATTTAACACTTACAGGGGTGCTTACAATGATTAGCTCATTTATTCATGTAAAACCTTTATCCCAAAAGGAACAAAACTGTTGCTGTAACTGCTTATGAAGTGCAATGCAGAATTTGGCTTCAATTTGTTAGTGTATCTGAATCTGCTAGTACATCTAATACTCCCCTCCAAACAGACTGACAATGCTGAAAACGAATGCAGCCACCATATCTAATGATTGGTAAGCTGCAATATTTTACATTTTGTTTTTTGGGTTTAATACCGCTTTAAGTCACTTAACCAACACAATGCTGAGGAGAAGCTGTAGTTTTGGGGTACTTTCAGTGTCACCTCCAGCCGCATGTGCTGGTTTAAGTGTGGTGTATTTCTAGCTAGGACACATTTTGAGTTAATGGCTTTATTACTAAAATTTCTGAAAAAGATACAGAAAATGTTGGGATGGCCAATGTTTTATTATTTGTAGTGACACTGGTGGTGAGAGGACATCTCCCTATTAAGTAAACGGTTCTGAGGGAATATCTCTTCGCTTTGAATGGATCCTCTGTTTACTTTCTGCTCTGTCTCTAGGATGGGAAGTTAAGGGAAATCTTAAATTCTGATGTTGCACATGCAACGACTGTTGGGTACTTGTGTGTGAATTGTTTGCCCTCTAAATTCTTCAGGGCTGCGAGCTGTTGTGGAAGAGCTGGAGCTGGAAAGGAACCAGCTTCAGGAGCAGATCATGACATTGGAGGAGCGGTGCCAGGAGCTGGAGGACAGGCTACAGCTGCAGCTTCGCATTGAATCTTTACAGGTATGTTTTGTAGCAGTCGTGCTCACGGGCGACTGCAAGATATAAGTTGTCATATGAATAATCTGGAGCATGATGCACCTTTGATTTAATCTGAGAATGAGCTTGTTGTGGCCTAGTGTATCATTGTGTAGGTCATCACTTTTATCTTAAAGGATCAGTACACTTTTTCAAAAATAAGTAAATAAATCTACAGTTTTCTGAATTCTTTTTTTTTTTTTTTTTCCAAGGAGTCTGCAGAGCATTGTATCCGCAATCAACAGGTCGCGGGTGCAATCTCTGTCTCAGCATAGCTGTCTACCCGTGCCTCGAACAGGCAGGCAGTTACTTGAGAGCATGACGATCAGTGAACTACTACAGCACTCATCAGTGCCCTTGCAGTTCATTGAGAACTACAGGCCAGCAGGCTCAATGGCTGGCTGTACTTGTAGTCTATTCATTCACAGGAAACTGTGAATGAATGACTCGGCCTTGTGGGCAGAGCCCGGCATGGCTGAACTTTTTCAAATTGTTACGGCAGGTGCGGGGAGCAGATCCTCCGCCACTGTCACAGGGAGGGAAGAACGGGGGGGGGGGGGGGGGGGTACACCCTAAAAACGTGGAGTGTAAAATGTTCCGAAGGTGAACTTATCCTTTAAGTAAGAAGCCCTTCTATACCTGCCTTTCCTTTAGTAGAGGTGACCAAACAGCTGAGCTTTCTGCCTCATTTTCTTTGTCTTGTAATCGCGCCTTTTAATACAGGTAACATTTGATGTAGATGAAGAGACTCCTCCCTTCTCCAAGGTGTGTGTTTGGTGTATAGGGTGAAAGTAACACCATTATGATCTGTGTGTGAGTGTGTCTCACTTCTCTCGTATGCACTGTTTCCATATACACTCCATGGCCTAGAGTTTGTGGACCCTTCACCCTCACCCTCTACACTATATGGGCAAAAGTGTGCGGAAGCCACTCCGAATTACTATGTTTAGGTGTTTCCAATATAGGATACTATTTTCAGCATACAGACACATTTTAAGCAGCTGCACATTTTTCATCCTTGTGGTAACATTTTGAGAAAGGCCCTTTTCTTGAATGTGTCCCTGTGTAGGAAGCCAGGTCCATAAGGATATCATTTTCCGAGTTGGTTTTGTTTTTTTGTTTTGTCTTGTTTTTTTGTTTTGTTTTATTGTATTGTTTTGTTTTATTGTTGTTGGTTTTTTTGTTTTTTTTTTGGTTTCGGTTTTTTTTAGTGGAGGAACTGGAGGGGACTGCAAAGATCCCTAACCTCACCCCTACTGATTACTTTTTTAATGGACAGGAACACCAAATGCAAGCCAGGTCATCTTGTCCAACATCAGTACCTGACCTTACAAATGGTGTTTTGGCTGAATAGGCAGAAATTCCAATACACACTCCAATATTTTGTGGAAGAGTGTAGACTGGTAGGGTTGGTGGTTAGGAAGCTCTATATTAATGACCATGGTGTCAAAATGGAATGTCCAACAATCTCATATTGATGTGATGATCAGGTCCCCATAAACTTTATGGCCATAGAGTGTAGCTATGCTTTGCTTCTAACACATTTGTTGCTATCTGTCAAAGCAGAGTTTATTTGTGACAATTGGCTTAGATTGGACAACAACTCTTTAATCAAACATGCCTACCATGAAATAAGGTCGTGCCTGTATACTGTCATGATTATTGAAGCCATAAGCACTGTGTATGTGAAGAAGCATGTGAGCACCTGCAGTAATAAACCTCTTTTAATGCAAGACTTCAAACAAGCAGAATTATTTTGGTAGAGGGGGTGCAGAGGGCAGTTTAGTTGGGCCCTCTCCTGATTTTTAGTCTTTTATGTGTTAGTAGAGGCCCTGCGCTGTTTTGTTTTTTCATCTACTTATGTCAGCTGGCCCGTGCAGAAAAAAAAAAATCATATACACACACAAAGCAGGAAGAATGTTTAACTATTTTCGCGCTGCCCTGGTACAGGGCAGCGGGGGTGCACACAATCACGTATATATTTAGGGGGCGCGCGCGCGCGAGCCTACCCACACCGCTATTCGCGTCTTAGGCTGTCAATCACCAGGTCCCGGCCGGTGATTACTCACCGGCACTCGGTGATCAAGGAGCATTATCGATGGAGGGAGAGAATTGTATGTAAACAATACAGTTCTCTCCCCTGTCAGCTCCTGCACACTGCTTTGCATGGCTCTGCACTGCAAGGGTTAACTTGTGTCCGCACTGCAAGGGTTAACTGCTCATGGCCTAGGGTTCATAGATCAGATGATTTACTTACCCACTTCTTCTGATGTCCAGACTGATGCAGGATCCATAGCCCTGCACTGGATATGATGACACCCAGGGACAGTCCACACGGTTGGGGCTCACTGCAAGACAGAATTTTCAGATTTCCTGGAGTTGGGATTTAGGACATCTGGGATGATAAGGCCTAATATGCAGTTATTTAATCTTGTTTTGCAGACAGCTGCTTGATCTTACAAGCCAATTAACAAGCTTTAAGCAGCATTCTTGAGGCCAATAAAGTACTTTAAGGTCCAGTCTGAGAGTGCTGGACATGGCAATAAACAAACTTTTATCAGTCTTCAGAGCTCTTTAACCTACTTCAAGCAGCAGGCATGCATACAAGGTGAAAATGCACAGTGTGGGACTTTTTAAAACCACATATTGCAGTATTGGGATTTTGACTTGTATACCCATGTCTCCTTACTCCATTTTTGCCTTCTAACCAAAGCTTCTTTTTAAATACCATTTTGATAGACAACATTCCATTATACAAGGACAGAATCCTTAACCACGAACCTACAGGGCACTTGTACCCCCTTCCTGCCCAGGCCAATTTCCAGCTTTCAGCGCTGTTGCACTTTGGATGACAATTGCGCGGCCATGCAACACTGTACCCATATGAAATTTTTATCATTTTTTTTTGTGACAGAGATTTATTTTGGTGGCATTTAATCAACTCTGGGTTTTTATTTTTTCTTAAACCAAAAACCACTGAAAATTTTGGAAAAAAAAAACGTAAAATAAAGTAAATAAGTAAATAAGTGATTTTTCTCCTTCACTGATGTGCGCTAATGAGGCTTCAGTGATGGGCACTGATAGGCTGCACTGATAGACACTGATAGGTGGCACTGATAGGGCACTGATGGGCATTGACAGGCATCACTGATGGGCACTGAAAGGCAGCACTCATATATGGCACTGATAGGTTGCACTGTTAGGTGGCACTGACTGGCACTGATAGGTGGCATTAACTAGGTGGCACTGACTGGCACTGATGGGTGACACTGAAAGGCAGCTCAGATGGGCACTGATATGTGGCATTGATGTGCACTGGTAGGTACTGAAATGTGGCATTGATGTGGCACTGATGTGGCAGGCAGGTGGCATGGATGAGCACTGACAGCTGGCACTGATGGACACTGACAGGTGGCACTGCTGGGACTACACAGATCATCAGGGCACACTGATCATCAGTGCCCTGATGATCAGTGTACATGTCCCCTCTGAGGGATGCCGTCATATGACGTCCTCCGAGAACGAGAGAACCGCCTTGCGAATGTCATTGTACTATATGGCGGGCAGGAGGTGGTTAAAGACCGGTATGAACAGACCGCTTAAAGATAAAGTTAGAATATTATCCACATGATGAAATAAAGTTTGCATTTCCATTTCTTCATGTCCATTTTAATAACAGAACGGACTTAGATACAATAGCTGTACATGGCTCGAAACGCAACCTGGCTTTCCAAAGGCAGTTTAAAAATTGACTGAGTTGGGTGGAAAATGATTGACCAGACGGTGACTGTATCTAATCGGATAGTTGAGGAAAGTGGAAGAAAAGCGTGGGACCCATAAATGAATATTATTGGTACTGCTATCTGAAAGCAGTTATAAAGGCTTTTTTTTCTTTCGAAAAATAAAAACATGTTATACCTACCTGCTCTGTGCAATACCATTTGGCCCTGAACCTCCTCTTCTGGGGTCTCCACCAGTGCTCTTTGCTTCTCTGCTTCCGTGTCTGCCTCCATAACAAGCTTGCTATGCAGGCTAGACATGCAGGATTGCTCCTGAGCGTGGCTGTGTGCATCTATAGAAACACACACCATGACTCCATGTCCAAACAGTTGTCTGCCATTTAATGAAGGCTGCGTTAGAATGTTTTTCTAGTTGTCTGAGCTCTAGCAGGGGAAATTGTCCCTGACCATTGTCGCCAGGACAAAAAGTGAGGGGAAGTCCAAAATAAGGTTTTCAGCAGAACAGAATTGCAGGGAAAATCATCTGCTGGGAATAGCTGCTGCTTAAGAGAGGGGATTTCCCCTCACTTTGCGAAGTTTTTATCTTGTCACCGTGATTGAAAATGAAGGGAAATAGGGAAAGTCCCCAATGGGACATAGCAAGCAAAAAAAAAAAAAGACTAGAAAGTCAATAGGACGCCATCCATTTCCTACTCTGTCCAAAACCTTGATAGAAATGCACTTTTGTTTTTCCAGTGTTAGAAAATTATGGATGGCATATTTGATCAAAGAATGGTCTTTCAGACTACTAGACAGTAGTTTTTGTGGTTTTAATTGGATTTTAACACTACTTTTGAATATTTGCTCATTTGTGGCATTAAAATTTTCTTTAAATTTAATGTGTTTGCCCAGTTTATATTTTTTTAAAATTGTAATTTATTGAACAGCAAATGGTTCTGGTTGCATCCATTTTCCTAGTCATAGATGAAGCAACCATATTACTTTACCTTCTAAACCTTTGAATAAAGCGATGAGTACTCCTGTTTCTTCTTTACTCTGGTGAAGGGTTTACGCGCAGGACGTTACCTCTTTTTCACAGTTTCCCATTTTGCAGCAACACGGGTGATAAATGTGTGGCTTGTGAACTGTTTTCTGGTCAGGCTTAAAGAAACTGAATTATTTTGTTTCAGGGTGAAAATGAACGACTGCAGTCACAAGTCTCCCAGATTCGACTGCAGCAGAGCCAAGAGTCTGAAAAACACCATGATCTGCTATCCACCATGAATGACCAACTTAAAGGGTATGTCCCCTCAAATGTTACCACTTTGGGTAGTATACGTTATGTCAATAGTATGTTCATATTTTGAAAGATGGGATTGGACTGATGAAAGGCCAGTACCTGGCTGATAAAGTAATAACATGGTGCCTTTATTTATTTTTTTCTCTTGGGCTTTAGTCATGATACTTAGAGGATAAGTTCTCCTTTTGCATAAAAATAATAAATGCACATTTTTTTGCAGTACTTCTGTCAGAGGGAGGGGGGGGCGGCAGCTGCGGCATTGGGAACATGTTACATGTTCCACCCTAAAATTGGGTGGCACATGTAACATGTTCACAAAGGTGAACTTATCTTTTAATTGTTGATGTTCTTCTGCTGGACTTGGCTGTAATTATGTGTTGCGTGATGCTCATATCCTTAGGATACGGAATGATTTTAGTGCGTGTAGTTTACTATACATACAATTTCTTGGTCCCACTACAAAGGGACCGAATATATACATTTATTGAACTTCAGCCACCAGTGGCCTTAGCAACATGTGTTGGTGCTTAGACTGCTATGCTAGTCGGACCGGTCTTATATTCATAGTTATTACAGTTTGTACTCTATTTAGCAAACATTTTTACTGCCACTATTTGCAAATATTTAGATTGTAAGACTGAAAAAGTCATATAGCTAGTCCTAGACAGTAGATGGAGTTTGGAAATGCAGATACAATATGGATTATGGGTCTCTTTCAAGCAGACCCCCTGCTCAAAATGCTCCTCAAGATTTAAGATAGGGGAAGATGTGAATTTAAAACACAGAAATCTCGCTATTGCAGTAGGACTGGAAGTGGTGAGGAGGACTTTGCTGCAACAGTATGAGCATCTGCAAACAGCTGCCAAGGGGCTTCTAGCCACTCAATGCCAAACACCAAAACAATTTAAAGAGCTCCTCCTCTAAAGATTACCTGTCTTTATAGAAAAAGGGCATTGTCATTCCTATCTTAAGTTGCTAGTTCCTTGTCTTTGATTTAACGTAATGATTGATTAACCTGGAATAGGTATAAACCAGTGAAGTCAGGAAGCTCAACCACTAAGCTTCTTCTGGGTGAGTGACTAATTAAGCCATAGGATAAACATGGGAATCAGTGAAATAGCAGTGATGGTTCCTATATTTCAATTGTTACAAGTTTGCTTGTGTCTACTTTACATGTGCCATCATATTCCACAAGCATGTATTTTAAAAATCGAACTTTTTTTAAAAATGAATATATATTTTTTTGGAAAAAATACACTGATTAAAAAAAAACTATTTATACCCCCAATTTTTTTGTAAAATATGAAAAAGGATGTTACAGCGCGTTATACCAAACCTGTCACGTTTTAAAATTGCGCACACTGGTGGAATGGCGTTGTAAGAAATTCACCATAAAACAGACGTCTGTATCTTTTCACGTCAGTATCTTCTCTAATATGACAAGTAAAATCACTGAGAAGTAATTTTAACTTTGCGTGTGTATGAAGCTTTGGAAAACAGGTGTTAAAGATGAACCATATTCATGTCTAAGAGGTCAGCAGGTCATAAGCTTAGTCTTAAGAATAGCAATCGGAATGTCAAAAAGATATTGGTATGCAGTAAAGCAAAGAAAGGATATGTCTTTTATAAAGAAAATCATGTCTAATCCATAATATAGTTAGTTGGATAATTATTTCATATAATCAATTTATTAGTTAGGAATAGTGTGTGATAAGTTTAGTATCAATTATTGTTGGTTATATGCATTTATGTGAACATTGTCTCTTTCTAAAGATATGTGAAGCCATTGTATATCATGTATCATGTATTTCTGTCGTCTAAGAGGTTTGAAGATAACATCACACTAAGAATATAAGTTTAGAAGGTTTACATATATGGACACTAAGAGTATAAGTTTAGAAGAAGTACAAAAAAGGGTTTACTCATTTAGCTCACACTGAATTAGGAAATAACTGTTTAGTGGGTTGGTCTGGTAAAATATATATAAGATGTGCCTTAGAGATAGACACACACATACACACATACACTCACTCACACTCATACATCAAGACATTATACAGCTGACATGCACTGACATTTTTGTTTTCTTAAAGCCTGCAAAGCCTTGATACACCTGTTGTCTTCCTTGCCAAGACTGAAACACTTGTCATAGAACAGGCAAGAGATTAGACATTTCTCCAAAGCTTATTTCTTTTTCCATAATCTACAACTTTTGTTATATTTTACTCTGTATTTTATTTTATCTTTTGTATTCATTTTTGATGCCAAGTGTGAATTAAATAAAAGTCGCACTGTTTTAAATCAGCCTGGCACTAGAACACTTTACCTCAAACGCCTAAGACAGACACTTAAATAATATAAGTGTCACGATATTTAACAGGCGTTAAACAGCGGTACTTAAAAATCTCCATGGGTGATGCTTTAAAACTTTCTACAGGTTAGCAGTGTAAAGTTACAGAGGAGGTCTAGTGCGAGAATCATTGCTCTTGCTCTGACGTTTGTGGCAATGCCTCGTGTGTGGTTTGAACACCGTTTACATGTGGGCATGGCCTATGTATGCGTTCACCACTACGTGTGAGCACGGGGGCACTTTGAACTTTTTTTTATTATTATTTATTTAATGTTTTGGGGTTTTTTTTTTTTTTTTTTTTTTGCACTGTCCCTTTAAAAAAAATGTTAATCACTTTTATTCTTATCACAAGAAATGCATGCATCCCTTATGATAGAAATAATTAGTGGCAGGTCCTCTTCATGGAGAGATTTGGGGTCAATAAGACCCCACATCTCTCCTCTGCAATGTAAAGCATTAGATAAAAAAAAGCATTGGTCTAGTGCTTTAAAAAAAAAAAAAAAAAAAATGGCCGGAATGGTAAGTGACATTGCTCTGGTCCTCCAAGGGCATAGAGATGAGTGGCAGTCATCTTTCCTTCACTCATCTCTGTGCCCAGCGCTGGGATCGATGGTTTCCCAGGTAAGGCTGAGAACTAATGAGCGGCGGCCGGTGGTGGCAGCAGCGGGCAGGCGGTGGCAAGGGGCGCCATTTTTTCAGCATCTGTATCTGTGTTTTTTTTTTTTTGTTTTTTTCATTTTGGACAACGGCCAATAGGGGTGTTTTTGGCCGAAACGTTTTGGCCACCAAAATTTCGGTGCATCGCTAATGGTTAGTGGAGCACTTTCCTGATCCAGAGCCAGTGGCATAACCTTAGCGCTTGCCCTATATCTGAAGACCCAGTAAGTAGGCCAGTTAGGTCAAGGAACAGGAGCTACCTCTTTTGCATAAGCCTTTATTTACTGTTTCCTGCTGATTCTCCACACAAGGGATTCATTCTGTGGGGGTAAACACTCGTATTATCCTCTGGGGGGCTGTCTTTTCTTAGATCCCTTATGGCTGAGGTTTTTAACCACTGTCCTGCAGGACTTTGTGACCCTTATTACTCTTTTACATGCAAACTCTGATTGCAGAGGTCATAAGTGCACTTCCATATCCTTCCTATGGCCCTAGCTGCTTCTGAACCATCGTCAATAGACTTTGTCTGATTTCTAAATGGCTCAAGTCCTTGGCTGATGAAATTGCAGCTGCAGAGTTGCAGTTTACTGTTGTTATTCCCATAATAAAAGAGACTATTTAGGCTGTTATTGATGCAGTACTCACCACTCTGAAACTTTAAGAGCAACCTGTCAATTCTACCAGTTCTTTTTTCAGTTGTCATTTAAAACTCCTAAGGCCTCAGACTTTTCCTTTGCATCTTTTCCAACTGTTTCTCTATGGAGCCTGGGAAAATCCTGATAAATGTTTGCTCCCCGTTCTTTGAGGATTTTGTACAATAGAGGTCTATTCTGACTGTTGATCATGCTTTGTCCTGCCATAACAAGGTGCTTACCATTGTGGAAGTGGATGCTCCTGTTTTAAATGACCTAAGTGAAAATTGGTTGGAAACCCTTTCTAGAGCTGTCTTCTCTCTGGCGTGTCCTGCCCTTCACCCTATCCTGACTATGACTTTCCTTTGTCACACAATGCCTGACTAGCCAAAATTCCTTAAAAAATATCTAACCACTGCTGCAGATAACTCTTTTGACTGTTGAATGCATGTAGCAGATGTCTGTAGCATTAAATTTTAGCTTTGATGGTTTGCTGAAAGCCGCCTGTCTAATCTCTTGCGTGTACCTCATGTCAGTACATATGCACAGGGGCAATGAGTTTAAGTGCTGGACTATAGAACCCTTGTGTGAAATGTGTTTGTTCCGTACAGCCTTTGAGGGCCAACATCTCTTCGGACTGGCTCTTGATAATCTCATTAAGGATGCTGAAGGTTGCAAGAACACCTATTTTCCCCGGTGGAGAATGCCTTAATCTGGCCATAGATGGGTAGAATTTCAAACAAAAATTATTAATAAAAGTGTGTTCTTAGAATGTTTGTTTTTCTAATCAGTGGATCAAATATATTTTCATTTTTGACAACGGTGACAAGCAAAATTGATGAAGTAGGAATAGAATTTTTTTCTCGATCAAATGTCTAACATTGTATGTGATTTTCGTTTGGTAAAGTCCATTCATGTTAAAAGCGAGTTAAATCTTTGAACAGTATTCAAATGTTCAGAGAATTTTTGTAGGAATTTTCCTTAAAATTTTCTATCAATCTATGGCCAGCTTAAGGCACAATAAGAAACCTCCCTTTCATTTCTTTACTCCCTCGACTTTCTTGTGAAGACCCTTCAGGCTTGGTTCCCCATCCACTTAGTCTGCTAAGTTTGTGAGCAAAGCTTCCTCAGCAAGAATGTGCAAGTCCCCCCCCCCACACACTTTCTACAGTGGGGGTGGTGTCTGTTGAAATTTGTGGATGCTCAGACAACCTTCATTTCAGACACATTTGGGTGCGGTAATGGAATCCTAGGTCTACTAATTGGAGTTACTTTCTGTCCTCACCTCCGTTTCTCATCTTCATCTTTTCTGTGTCAGTGCACAGACTATCAGATCAAGGTGCCATTGCTCCAGGGGTTTTACTTTAACCTATTTAACTGTTCCCAAAGCAAAGGGGGGCATTTGCTCCAGCTTGGATCGCCACTTTCTGAATGTCTTCATATGGGTCTTAAAATTCTTTAAGGAATTTTTGCATTCTTTTGGGAGACTTTCTAGATTCTGGGGACATCAAAGATGTTTACTTGCATATATCTCTCTTTCGAGTACATCAGCGACTCCTGCTGTTTGCGGTAGGGCTTCTGCAGTGCCAGTTCATGGTCCTGCTCTTCGACCTCTTATCTGCACCTTTGTTCTTTACCAATGTGCTGACTCCAGTATTAGTCCTGCTGCGCTCTTGTGATGTGCTCATTGTAGTGTACTTAAATGACATCCTGTTGAGGGAACAATTATACAACTTGTCTCTGACTGTCCAGACATTGTAAACATCTCAGCCAGAGTATTCCTTTCACAGTAGAAACTTTAGACTTTAGGTGTTATGTTCGAACACTTTAGTCCAGACGTTGTCAGACTCCACTTTACATGAGAGTTCTGGGCCTGATGATGGCCTCCTTTTGAGGCAGTCCCCTTTTCCCAGTTGCACTCCTGACATCTGCAACTCAATATTCTGTCATCATGGGACAAGTCAGCCTGATCTCTGGACAGTTGACGCTGAGATTTGGCTGTCTCTTAAGTAAGAAGAACCAAGTCAGTTGCCATGCCAAGAAAGGTAGAGCAGTTCCTGTCCTGGGCAGAACTTCATGTTCTAGTCTTGTCTGCCATGTAAAATCCAGGCGAAGACCAATTCTAGGCATAGTCCTTTTTGTCCCTTAAAGGTTGCATTGGCTTCTCATTCCACCATCTCTAGGAGGCTCAGGAAGACCATTATCCAAGTGTCAAGGTTTGTGTTCCACCCTTTCTTGTCAAGATACTGTACTAGTTCTCTGAGTTCTTCTTGAGCTTTTCTAGATCGGGCATCTTTTTCTCATATTTGCAAGATTGCCATCTGGTCTTCTGTTTATGCGTTCTACCATGTTGACGTTAAAATCTCATCTGATGCCAGCTGCAGGCATGAGGTCTTACACACCTCTATTTAAGCTGCCGAAAATGCCTAGTTCTGTTGATTTTTCTTGGGCCAGTTAGCATTTGCTGTGTTCACACCTTTTCCATTGGGCTACTAATGGTTTAAGCCTCCTTGTGCCTCTAAGTGGATAATCATCCAAGCTTATGGTCTCCAGGGATCTCTTTCCACCTTTTTTCTGTTAGGCTCACTCTACTAGATCCATGTGCCGTTTTGGGCTTTCCAGTATCAAGAAACTTTCCAAGATTTGCAAGTCTGCCACTTAGTTCTCCACACATTTTTTTAAGTTCTACCAGATGGAGCTTTCGGTCTCATCTGATGCCAGCTTTGGGTGTAAGGTCCTTCAGGCAGTTAATGGAGCTACAGGCATTCCCAAGTTTTTTTTAATGTGATCCTGTTAGCAATTGTTTGCTGAGTTACCTGCCATAGGGTTTGACTGCTGTGCATATTCTGAGAGTCTTTCTGTGCTCCTTAGTGGATGAGAGAGAAAATAGCATTTTTTTGTACTACTTTTTTTTTTAAACATCTTTTTAATGGGGTCCATTTGAAGGACACAGGTTCCACCCCTCTCTGTTTATTATAATGCCCTCATTACTGCTTTTCTACAAAACTAAGGCATACTGGCAGTTGGATGGGTCATCTTGGGCTAGCCTACAGTTTGTTTTGTTTTTTTTTAATTTGTCAGTGTCCAATCCACCTTGCAAGTGTCCCTCAATGGGCTCCAGGAAATAGATTTTATGGTGAGTGCAAACATTCTCTTTCAGAAGATGGTCTAAAATGGTGGCTTCCTTCCTTAGGAGAGTTTTCCTAAAGTGGAACTTTAGGAGAAACAAAAAATTTGCAAACAGGGTTTTTTTGTTTATTAAGCTTATCAAAAGCATGGATCTGAAATACAGCCTTGCTCCATACAGTGGTTCAGGTCACCCTGAGACAAAAATGCTCATACCACAAGGCAACATGGTGCTGTGGAGTCACACCATTAGACCTTACATGTACAATGTAAATAACCCACCCACTCTGAAGACTGATTACTCCCTAATACGATGTATAGCCAAGTAAGTGGGCTGCGGGCATCCTGAGAGTTAGTCCCTGTTAGGCGTATTCTGATGACTTTGAGTAGGGGCCACCTTTTGCTGAGAGGAAACCAGTGAAGAGCAGAGTAGAGAGAGGGAGAAAGAGAGGGGAGCAGAGAAGAAGTGTTTAGGTGGAGGGCTCAAAACCATGATCTAGTCAAGTGCCTCCTGGAATTGCAAACGGTTTTTATTGCAGAAGAGAAGCCAAACAGGGAGTTTCAGGCCACCATAGCACTGGAGGGAAGGTGAGTATATTCCTACTGTAAGACTCTTTTTAGTATCCTCTGTACCATTATGCAAAAACTTAAATGTGGAATATTTCTTAGTTTGACCAATAGGAATGCGTTTCTTGAAAATGCTGTTGTGGAAAAAGAGCAAACTATCCTGGAAGCAACATCACGGCTGGATCAGCTGGGAGCAGTGAGGAAAGCTTTGCAGGAGAAAGAAAACATGAACAAGGAACTCCTAGAGAAGCTGGATCAGTCTGAGCATCAGGTTAGCCAGTTATTACATTTATAGGATTTGCATTGTCCCTCTATATCCCTCTGTATATATGTCCATACTTTGTCTTATTATACTGTTCTAAACCTAGGCACTTGTATTGGGCAGTGTTGTAGACACAGAGATCATCACTAAAACTTGGTCATTGTATATACTAAATGTTTAATGTAACTTTGGGTAAATATCAGATTTAGCCTCATTAATTACTTTATTTCAGGTACTTAATTTACAATCGTTAGTGAATTTAAAGCGTAGGTGCAGTAAAAAAAAAAAAAACATTCCTCCAGTTTCGCTCAAACCTTCAAATGCGGGACAACCCTCAACATCTTTGCATACTATGCAGAATTGTTGGTTCTGCATTGTGCACAATTGTGTTGGTGATGGGGCAACCACACGACTTGCAAAGAGGGAGCAGTTTTGTGTGAGCGTTTGTCCTGTGGGAGGAAGCGTGCGGGAGCAAAGAATAAAAAAAAACAAATTCTGCCTCCTCTATGCACCCTAGACTAAATTAGAGCCTTCGTAATCTTTGTCTAGATTTTCATGCGTAAAAATCGGTCAACAATTATTGTGTTTTGTAGAAATATATTTTTTAATTGTTGAGTACAGGACACAGTATTGCTTACCTTGGGTTTTATTTTGCCATCTTCAGGTGATTAGGCAATAAAAAAAAAGCTGCAGGGACATCCCCGTATAACCCTTCCACTGCCCGCTAGCCTCAGGTGTTTTGCTAGTGTCCTTAGGTCATGAATGTCTTCTTTCTACTGAGGGAAGCTTGCTCCTTTTCTATGGAGGTTTTTTCTTTGAAAGAGCTTTCTGTCAATATTCCGTGCTGCATCATAGCTACCCATGGCTTCCTTATGTAATTTCCTGGATCTGGTAATTCCTTAGCTGAGCTTTAGAGGACCATTCCCAGACCGCACCTGGATGAAGATGTGGGGCCACCCTTTAATGTTGCTGGGTGCAGTGGATCCTATTATAAGTGCTCCTTGTGGCAAACAGTACAGCGTGTAGTGAGCTGCAGGGTGCTATACAGGGCTATGTTTTATTTTCTTAATTTGGCACCATTTTCACTTTGTGCAAAGTGCTTGCATTTCTCCCAGGTGCCACTAGGGACTGCCTTAGTACTGTGCAGGTCTCTGTATCCCAAACCTATTGCGCAGGTATACACCATCTTAAATCCTGGCACATGGAGGGCTGGCACAGAGCTGTTCTGTTGGTAGTTTTTCACAGTATGTTGTATATTGGCACCAACATCCCCTCTGCTTTGCAATGGTCTGTGAGTAATCCTTACTAGTATCACCTCACTGTATTCTGTTTTAACAGCCTGTGGCAAATTAATCCCTGTGAACCATGGTCCCCTGCTACTCTTTGGTATCCTAGTCTTGCATGGTCATTATCCTTCGTGTTCTGCAGAAAGGCAGTGAAAGCCCTTCTTGGTAGGTTTTCCTTCATACTGTAGGTACTGCTGCCTTTAGTTACCTCCTCTCACATTAACTTTGACTATAACTGCCTTGCAGTGGGTTCAAGTGTACCTTTGTTGGTACTTTCTCTCTGTGTACTGCTTGTAAAATGTTCTGTGGTGACTTGTACAGAAAGCCATCATCCTCTTCAGGTCTGCAGTTTGTCCGTGAGTGGCTGTTGCTGGTCGCTGATTGCAGTCTGTGGTCCTAGGCTTGAACTGCCGTCATTTGTTCTGCAGTCAGTTTGAGTTAGGTTGGTTGCATAGCGTTTTCTTGCAGCCTGTGGTGACGCAGTCTCAAATGTCTTTTCATCCCTTCCAGATATGCAAATGATCTGTGAGTATCCCTTGCAGGGCTGCCCCACTTACACTCTGCTGATATTGTCCTTTGGTCCTGGATTGTGGATGGCCATTGTGCTCTCCTGTTCTGTGGTCAGTCAGTGGACAACCTTTGCTGTTGCCGTCTCTCTTATATCCTGGTGATATGACGGTTCACGGTGGCCTAGTCATACATGGACATTGACTCCTACTACTCTGCAGTAGGTTTGAGAGTATCCTTTCTTTGGTACAGTCCCTCTGGGATCATTTAGTACAGTAATATTTGGTGCCCTTGTCAGGCATGGCCTTGGCTCCCCTGCTCTGTAGTGGGTCCGTGTGTACCTCCTGTTGGCAGTATTTCACTGTAGTGGTTGGTACTTCGGCCTGTGGTGGCTTCAGAACAGCCATTCTAAGACAGCTTTATGGTGCCTTCGCCACGGTTGACCTTGCCCTTCACCCGTCGAGGGTGTTTCAATTTACTCATTGTTTCCTCTGCTGCAGCTTGATTGTAAGCCTACACTTTTGGTTTAGTCTTGCTTGTGTGTGAGTATTCTGTTGACTATCCATATTTTGGGGCATCTCTCGATGTTATCTAACCTCAGATTGCACGAGTCCCGATCAGTCTGTCTTTTCTGCTCCAACACAACAAACCCTTTACTACTGCACTAGGAAAGGACTCAGTAGACCCAATAGGAATGTTCTGGAATTTTCTGGAATATGCACTGCTTGCTGCCCTCAACAGACCGGGGTGGTCCAAATACACTGGATACAAATGGAGAAACAGAAAAAGGGCGCACCGACCTAGTGCATTATCGTTTAAAATAATTTATTAAAGAAACAAAAGATGTATGATCCAAACAACATCTGAGTCCATACGATGGATCCCTGGATGACCAACTGACTAACGCGTTTCGAGGACACAACCTCTTTCTCAGAACCCTGGTTGGCTCTGAGGAAGAGTGTCAGGGCTCCCAGGTGTGACCAGAGGTGTGTGACTGACGCAGGGAAACGCAGACTTCAGATATGTGATAAACAATATAATTTATTAACACTAACAATACAAACATAAACGCAGTGCAATACTAAACATAATACAGTGCAAACAAACCAAACCAACCACCCACAGATAACAGTACATACAAGCAAGCGTCGTCAGGCAGGCCGGGTCGATATCAATTGGGCAGGTAGGTACAGGGGAGCAAGCGGAGATTGGTCGGGGTCACAGGCCAGGTTCAGCAGGTAGCTAGCAGCGTAGTACAGAGGGTCAGGCAGAGGGATGGTCAGGGTCACAAGCCAGGGATCAGAACAGGTAGCAGGCAGCGTAGTACAGAGGGTCAGGCAGAGGGATGGTGGTCAGACAAGCCAGGGATCAGAGCAGGGTCAGCAGAGAATCAGACAGGAACAGAGAGCAGGAACAGGATACAGGGCCCAAGAGAAACACAACACCAAGGCAGAGTCTGCAAGTCTGGCTATCCCTTAAATACCCCAGCATAATCAGTTACAGGTGTTAGCTGGCTGCAAAGTTGAGTCTCTGATTGCTGGGAGCACCCGCTCCAGCCCTGGTACTGCAGATCCCAGGTGAGTTTGCTGGCTAGTCCATTCCTGACAAAGAGGTTGTGTCCTCGAAACGCGTTAGACAGTTGGTCATCCAGGGTTCCATCGTATGGACTCAGATGTTGTTTGGATCATACATCTTGTTCAGTTTGACATGCCTGTTATGTCCATTGTGACTATGATACCTATTTTTGTTTCTTTAATAAATTATTTTAAACAATAATGCACTAGGTCGGTGCGCCCTTTTTCTGTTTCTCTATTTGTATCTTTTCTGCTCCTCTTTTTCTCCCTACAGCTTCTGTTATGCTGAGGCTTATGCAGAAGTGTTCCACGTCCCATCAGATGAGTTGGTATAAGGGAAGGTTTTGTCTATGGGCATATTTCCTAGACCAGCAGGTCATTTATATTGTCGATTTAGGGCCTTCTCGAGTCCTTTTGTAGTTCTTATTCTTCACTGATTCCCCTTCTCCAGGCAGTAGTCTGTATCTACTGTGGGTCTCAGGTCTAGTCTCAGCCTTAGTAATTCCTTTCCCCCCTGGGGTTCCTTTGTACAGCATATATTGCTTACTTGCTCTTCCTGTCTATTCCTAGTGACTGTTCCTTTGGGCGCAGGTTATCTTTTCTCAGGGACTTTTGCCTCTTTTGTCCTTACACTCGTTGCTGTCTTTTGTCATTCTTGCTGCTGTGCAGCAAGTTCTGAGTTGGCAGCCTTCACAGGTAAGGAATGTTTTCTTGTTCCTCCTTATGGACAATGTTGTTTTCAGTACAAGGCTTATCTTACTTCCTAAGGTGTTGCTTCCTTTATATTAACCAGGACTTTGTTCTACCTTTTTTCTATCCTGCTCCTCCATCAGGATGTGGAGTGTACTGTTGTTGTTCACTCTCAGCTTTCATTTCTCATTATTGCAACTTCTAGTCAAAGGCTTGAAAGCACTCTCCTTATGCTCTTCCTCTCTGCATGCTATGTGGACTTGTTGGCGTTGGTCTGTTTAGCCCACCACTTTAGTTGCACTGCTTTTGGATTTCTTAAAGTGTTACTAAACCCACAACAGTACCATCAGTCTGTATATGCAGTAAAGCATGCTTGTTATACTCGCTGTAGAAGCTAAGGGGTTAATCCTCCACATTGTGGAGAAAGGCTGTTTGATCCGGTCTTCTCTAATCCTTCCCTTGTTTTGCAGTCCCAAATCCATCTGCCATAGTAGGAGCAGCAGTGGCAAGTCTGCACATGCTCTATTTGTTTTTTTTTTTTTTTTTTAAAGGGTTAATGTGATCAGCACAGGGTCAATCAGCTATGTCTAGACAGAGGGTCAGGGGTTATGCAGCCTCATAGGACAGTCGGAGGAGAATAAGAACTTCTCCAAGATTAGCCAGTGCTCTGCTGGACACTGATAGAAGTCACAAGACTGCTGTATGCTGCCGATGAGAAAAGACCAGATATAGTGAATGCAGGGTCATGGGTTTAGTAAGACTTTAATGATAATGAATACCATGTCCTGTACTATATGAAAAAAATTGGATTTTTGACTTGCAAGTAAAATATGTCTCTGAGTACATTACTTAACACAGGTTCCTCACCCATGTTCGTATGATTTCCCTGTTGCTTGTTAAAAACTGGTAAAGGAAAATGTGGTAAGTTAAAATGCTATGTTTCAGAAGGAGATCAGAAATGGCAGCACCCATATTTCACTTATGGTTTGCCTTTTACATTTGTTTATTTCATTTTAATTTTCCAGCTTGAAGAGGTCAAAAGGAAGCAGAAGGCATTGGAAGCTGAGAAGTCAACATTAAAACAGTCCAACAGTGAGCTCACTGAGAAGGTGTCTGCATTCAAAGAGAAGGTAAGCCTTAAATACTGCTTGGGGATGATGAACGCTCTGTGTAGAGTTTATGCGTTTTAAGATTTTATCAGCCTTTAAAATAGCCACCACCATGTTGCTTAGGTGACCGTTCTGTTGGTTTTACCATTACAGACATGTCTAGGGACACTGTTCACCTGTATTTAGATACTACTTACTTGGAAGCAAGAAAAAAGTACAAGTTAAAGATTCTAAATGGTGACTGTAGAATAAAGAATAAACTATTCAGTCTCAGGGAGTTTAAGAAGATACGGGGCCACTTAATGAAATTGGAGGGAGTAGCTTTTAACATTAAACTGCGTAGGGGTTTTTTCACTGTCAGAGCAGTAGGGATGTGGAACTCACTTCCACAACTGGTAGTGTCAGCGGGAAGTATTGAGAGTTTCAAAAAACTCTTAGATGGGCATCTTAGCTAACACAATATTCAGGTATATGGGATATGACTTTTGAAATGAACACAAACACAACCACATAGGTTGATCTGAATGGACTAGTGTCCACCATTTAGAATCTTTAACTTGTACTTTTTTCTTGCTTCAACCTTACCAATTGTGTAAGTAATATTAGTAGAGGTTACTGTAACTGTTAACTTTTCTTGTTTTTTAGTTTAATAAAGTAGGAATTGGTTAGAACATCAGTCAGGTTTTAATTGCTGTCTGTGTCCCCAATGGGGAGATTCACCATTTAGTTGTACTGTTGACCATTGTAATTAAAGCGGAGTTCCAGTCAAAAGCGGAAGCTCTGCTTATTTGCCTCCCCCCACTGCTATATTTGCCACTTTTTTTGGGGGGGAGGGGGAGCCGGGTACCTGATTTTGACAGGTACACGCTCCCACTTCCGGCTCATTTCGTCCATGGCGAAGTGAGCCAGAAGTTCGGCCCCCTCCTCCTTCCTGCAGTCTCCTGGGAACTTTCACGGGTCCCAGAAGACTGCTGGACCAATTTGGAAGCGCAGTGGGCACCAGGCTGTGAAGCCACAAGCTGTCACAGCCTTTTGCCCACAGTTGAGATGCCATTGCGTGGAGGAAAGAACGGGAGAAGGGACCACGCAGGTGAGAACATCACTGGACTCCGGGACAGGTAAGTGTGTGTTTTTTAAAAGTCAGCAGCTACAGTTTTTGTAGCTGCTGACTTTTAATAAACACAAAAACGGAACTCCGCTTTAAGACAGGAAATCCAAAATTTTACAGTTGTCTTTGCAGCGAAATGTGAGAGAAAATCTTCCAGTAGGAATACTTGTTCCAAAGACAGGTGCCTAGGAAGGGAAATTCCCTCACTTTTAAGCGATTTCCTTTTAAATCCTGCTGCACACCTAATAGGACGCATACAGCAAAAAAATAAACTGGCCAAAGTTTTATCCTTTACCCACTTATCTAAAACTGAAAAAAAGTTTTGTCTATACATACATTTTAGGATATGTGTGAGGTCCCTGAGCAATCATAAATTAACTTTAGGCAAACCAGCATATAAAAGGGTGGAGTAAGCCATTGTTTTCCATATCAGCAACGGTGTGGTATATCGACTCATGTGGATACTTGGTTTTTTTGTTTTTTTTTTCACATTTGACAAGTTGCTATAGTAGACATTTAACTAGTGCTACTCTCTCTCAACACTTTCAGGTACTAATTCAAGATTCCTCCTTGGAAAAGCTGCAAAGTGACCTTGATCAAACTAATGAGGATCTTGATCGTCTTAATTCAAGTCATCTGGAGGAGCGATCGCAACTTATTCATGACCTGCAGAGGTGTGAGAGGGAGATGGATGTTCTCAAAGAGCTGTTACAGGAAAAGGACAAAGAAATGTCCTCTTTGTCGGTCACTATGACAGAATATACTGAGCAGATAACTGTTCTAAAGGAAGCAATGGACTTTAAAGATAGGCAGATGAGAGAGATGTCTGATGCTCTAATTAAAATGGAGAGAGAGCATCACCTCATAAAAGAATCCCAAACGCTGGATGTCCAGGAGACGAGCACTAAGATCTCCTCGCTGACCGAGCAGCTCAGTGAAATGGATGAGGAATTTAATAAAGCTAAAAGCCTCAATGAGAGCAAAACCAAAGAAGCTGAAGAACTAATTAGGCAAATCAATGAAAACAGAATAACAATTAAGAATCTTCATCAAGAGACACAGACACAGTCCGTTACATACAATAACCATGTAGCAGAGTGTTCCGCACAGATTGAATCGCTTAAAGAACAAATGCATGCATCTGTTGTAAGACTAAATGAAACAGAAACAAAATACAAAAAGGAGGAGTTGAAAGCTTAAAGTTGCAGTTAAAGAATGATCAGTCTGAGAAAGCTAAGCTTGCAAGCTTGCTGGAAGAAAAGGCGAATAAGGAGCAGAGTTTTGAAAATGAGTTAAAAGCTGAAAAAGAACAATACAACCGCTTGGTTTCCGATATGTCAAAGAAAGATGAAGAAGTACAACAGTTACTTAAATGTCTCTCAGAGCAGAAAGATCTTTGTGATAAACTAAGCCAAGAATTGTCTGATAGTCAAGATGATGTCTCTTCTTTAAAGAAGAAGGTTGAAACTCTTGCAGAAGACCATGAGAACTTGGTTAAAGCACTTCAAGAAAAAGCACAGGAGTTTCAGAAGCAGATTGATCAGAAGTCTGAAATCATTAAAACACTTCATTTAGAAAAGGAAGAGCTGCAAGAAAAATCTAAAGTCCAAGAAACGTCAATTTCAGATAAGGAATCGTGCATTCAACTTCATGTGAACTCTGTTGAGGAATTAGGTAAAAAGGTTCAGAGCTTAGATGATCAAAATAAACATTTGTGCAGTGAGAAGGAAAACTTACTGACAGAGGTCACCCGGAGAGACTCTGAAATCTCTCACTTGAATCAGACTTTAAATGATATCCAAACTAAACTGGTAGAAACAGAGCATCAACTATCTGAAGAGAAGAAAAATATTTCCAAACTTTCAGGTGCTAAGGAAGAACTGCTTGCAAGAATTGAACATATTTCTTCTCAGAGTTCCAAAAATGACAGCAATTTTGCAGCACAGTTAGAAGAGAGAGAAAAGGAATGCCTTAGGTTAAAGAGTCAGTTACAAGAAAAGATGGAGGTGTCTCATACGTTACAGAATCAGATGCAGTCTCTTGAAAAGGATCTAGAGGAAGCTCAGAGGAACTTTCATGAAAAAGATGATAAACTCAAGGTCACAATGGATAATTATAACATTACATGTGAGAATGTGAAAAAACAACAAGAAACAAATTCACTCATGCAAAAGAAAATGGAAGAATTAACCAAAGCTGTAGAAAATGAAAAGAAGGCATTGCAAGAGAAGGATTTGTTGCTTGCTACACGACATTCCCAACTGGAGGACTTGACTTCAAAGTTAGAGAAGCTACAGAATGAAGAACAGATTTTTAAAGAGACTAATCTAAAACTCACAGATGACATGGAAGGATTAAATAGAGCAATGGCCAAGCTCCAAGAGGAGTTCAGCCATAGAACTGAAGAAAATTCAACACTGCAAGAAAGATTAAACATGAATAACAAGGATGTTGAAAAGTTAACACTAGAAAGAGACTCATCCTTGCTGTCTATCTTGAATCTAGAAAGTCAGTGCCACACCCTCCAGTCACAAGTGGTTCACCATCAATCAGGAGTAGACTCCTTAACACAGCAAGTAAGCGTGTTAATCTCAGAAAGGGAAAAAAGTAATTCCGAAATAGAGCTGTTAAATGCTAACATGTGCAGTAAGACGGAAGAAGTTGGTGTTCTCAGTTCACATTTATCACAACAGGGCCATACTATCGCATCTCTGAAGGATCAGATTGACACAATCCAACTTGAGAACCAGTCTCTGCTTTGCAGTGTTAAAGAGAAGGAAGCACTTCTTTCACAGAAAGAAGAATTAATCCAGCAGGTTGAGAAGAAACTGGAAGGAGAAGGTTACTATTTACAGACTATCTCTGCTTTACAAAATGAGCTACAGAGTTCACTCTCTGAGTGCGCTCTACAGCAGCAGAAAATTAAAGACCAAGAGAAGGAGATGCATAGACTGACGCAGCAGATGCAACTGTTGAAAGATAAAAGTGAGGAAGCAGGGTTGTTAAAAACACAGCTGTCCGAACATATGGAGATCATTTCCAACCTTCATTCTGAGATGAAAAATCTGAGAGACAACGTAAATGAATTAAATGATGCTTTAACCAAAAAAGACGAATGTTTGAAGGAGAAGGTAGATGCTTATGTCAATCTGAAAACTCAGCTTTCTGAGATTCAGGACTCTTTAGAAGAGCAAAAGACCCATGTTGGAGTGTTAACTCAGGAAAACACACAGTTTAAAGGCATCTGTGTCCGAAAAAGATTTGGCAGTAGGAAATTCTTTAAAAGAATGTGATGCATTAAAACAAAAACTAACTGATAAAGAGGGACAATGCAATATGTTGATTCAGCAGATTACAGATTTAGAGGAAGCCAATAGAAAACAGAACAATGAGTTAAATGAGTTGAAGTTTTCCATAAAAGAACAGGAAACTTCCCTTTTGGGAAAGCAAGAATTGTTAAATGTTCAATTAGACGAGCAGACAAAATTGGTGTCACATCTCCAGAATTCAGTGAGCGAGCTTAATAACACAATTAAAGATCTTCAGCAGTCCATTGTCGACAAAGAAAATGCGGTGCAGAATTTGCAGGAAAAATACACTTCCCTCCATGATCGCAAACAAGAGCTTGCAGAATCCATTATCGAAAAGGAAAATGACATTTCAAAACTTCTAAGCACTGCAGATGAAAAGGATGCTAGGCTTCAGGTTTTGGAAAGCAATGTTCAAGCCTTTACCAGTGAGGTCAGTCTTCTAAGAGAAGAGCTAGACAAAGGTAATTCTAATGTCACAGGTATGTTGGACACACTCAGAATGAAAGATGAAGTCATATCTAAGCTTCAGAAAGCAGCGGAAGTCTTAAAAGCTGAACTGGAAAAACTGAACAGAGAATATCGAGAGACCCAAATTCAGCTGCATGCATTAACACAAGAAAAAGAGGAAAGCATCTCGTTAAGCCACAACCTTCAGGAAAAATGTAATTTACAGAGTCAGCTTATTGAAAACTTTAAGCATGATATGGAAAGTTTAAATTCAGAGTTAATACAAGCTCGAAATATGACTGCATTTGAGAAAGAAAAGTTCCAACGACAACTAGAGACTGAAAAGCAGGAAAAGCTGAATCTGGAAGCAATCTTGCAGATGTCAATGTCTGAAAAAGACACTTCATTGTCCACATTAGAAAAGCAGCTACTTGAAAAAACAGAAAATATAAAGCAATTTGAAGAAAAGCTTGAGCGCCAGCTGAAGGAATCAGAAGAACGTATTGGCTCAGACGCAAAGTCCTGCATCAGCTGAAATCCGACAAAGCAGATCTTCAGAAGCAGGTTAGTGGACAAGCTGAAGAAATCCATGCTTTGAAAGTCTGTCTAGAAGCCCTAGAATGCAATCTTAGTGAACTGAAGCAACAATCAGAAAAAGAGTATCAAAGAGTAAATGAGCAAAATGCAGTACTTAGGGAACAGACCAGCAGCTTAGACAATATACTGAAAATTAAAGGAAAATGAAGTACAAAGTTTGCTAAAAGACTTGAGTTTTGTAGAGGACCAGTTATGTGTGTTAAGTGATGAGAAAATTTCAGGACACAATTCATGTGATCAACAGTTAAATTACAGTGGCAAGGTAGAAAAACTTTCATCAATGTTTTCTAAGGCTTTGGCCTACAAGTCAAAAGTGGCAGAGTTAATGAAGTTGCTTGAGGAAAGAGACCAGGATCTTGATCATAAATGTCAAGCAATTTTTACATATGAGAAAGAGAATAAAATTTTGCAAGCTCAGTTGCAGAAAATTAAAGAAGAAAAACTTGGCAGTGATTATGCTGTGGGTGAATTGGCAGATGCTAAAGAATCCTTAGCCCAACAGCAAAATATCTTAAAAGAAAAGGAGGAGGTTTTGTCACAGATGGGCAGACATATTGCAAGTTTGGAGGAAGAAATAAGATTGACTAAGAAAGAGCTGCAAAAAAGTCAATTGATGGTGAGTGAAGAGAAAGCTAAAGCTCTGGAGCTTGAAGAAGAGGTCAGAATGAACAACTCTGTTGCCCAGAATATGAACGTGCAGCTCAGCCAACAAAAAGAGTTAATTTCCACACTAAGCGACCAAGTTAAAGAAAAAGATTCTTCTTTGATGCAGGTCATGGAGTCGATGTCAAATGAAATGGTCAAATTTTCATCTGAAAAAAGCATGTTGAATTTACAACTTCAGAATTTTCAGTCGGAAAAAATTCTTGCCTCATGCAAGTATCTGAACTGTCAGAGAAGCTTCAAGCTTATGAACTAAAGTTGCAGCAATCTGAGCAGATGCTAGCTGATAAAGAACTATTCTTATGCAATTTATCCAATGAGAAGGACCTCCAACTGGAGAAATTTAATAAAGAAAGGGAAAATTTGAAAAGGAAGCTGCAGGCGGCTTTAGTCATTCGGAAAGATTTAATGCAAAAACTTGAGAAGCTGGAGCAAAGCAAGCAAGATGATTTAAATGTTGAACAGTTAAAAATGTTGGAACTTGAGAAAACTATTGAAGAGTTAAATTGCAGACTAAAAACCATTTTAACTGAGAATGAAGATCTACAGTCTCGCATGGAACTTTCTAAGCAACAGATTATAGAGAAAGATGCACAAACAAGTGAGCTTTACAGGGTTCTCTCAGAAAAAGAAAATCTTGTGGTAGGACTCCAAAATGAGATCACTGAATTACAGCAGGGTTTCACTGAGAGAGATGGCATGATTCAGGAGCATATGAAAACCATGCAGGAGAAAGAACACAACTTTTTCTCAGACTAAAAATGCATTAAAAGAAAAACTTAAGACTTTAGAGGAAGAAAATTCTCATCTAGTGGAAAATCTAGAAAACCTTAAATCCTGCCTGGAAAAGGCTCAGGGAAAAGTAGAATATCCTGTCATTTCTAACCAGGTGTCACCAAATCAGTCACCTGCTGCTGCCATTTCAGTCACTCCAGAATCAAGTTCTATTGAAGGATCATTTGCACATACAGAAAACACAATTGTTCATAATAATGTCCATGCTTCACTTTTATGCACCCAAGGAAATGTGGAGAGTAAAGAAAAACATGCTGCTCTGTTAGAAAGTCTTAGCAGGAGTGTAAAAGAGTTTGAGCTGTTACAGAAAACACATGCAGAGTTGCAGTTGGCTTACAAAACAAAATGTGTGGAGTATGAGGAACAAAGAGAACAAGCATTTTCTCTGCAAAGCCAGGTTGAAGCCCAGGGAGCACTGGTTTTCCATAAAGAACTGGAGTTGGCCGACAAAGACAAGCAAGTAGATCAGCTAAGGCACGAAATTGAAGAGATTTCTCATAAATTAGAGGATATTAAGGAATACAAAATGTAAATTTTGAACTAAAAGCAAGTCTCAGTGAGAAGAATGAAGAGTTGCTGAAGATAAGCTCTGAACAAATGCAGTTATTGAGTGAGATCCAGTCACTGAAAAATGAAACACAAAAACTGTCCCATGATCTGGAAAAAAGGCAGGAGGAAATCTGCTCTTTGAAGGCTGCAGTGGACTCTCAGTCGATAAATGTAGAAACATTTGAAGCTATGAAAGAAAGTATGAAAAATGAGATTTGTGTATTACAGAAAGAGGTTGAGGCATCTAGAAAGATGAATGAAAGTGTTGAGTTGACCATTCAGCAGATAAGCAAAGAAAAGGATATGTATTTTGAATATTGCCAGGCACACAAAATAGAAATAACCAAACTTAAGAATGAACTTGAAGTAAGGGTCTTTGAATTGTTGGAAAAAGATAAAGAAATTGGTGTTTTAAAAGATTCCATCCAAATGAATGTACGAACATCTGGAGAGGAGATACAAAAATTGTGCAAGCAATTAGAGGAGCGTAAGGAGGAAGCAAATAAATTGCGCACAGATTATGCCCAAATGAAAGAAGAGCTGGAAGAAAGCATTTCTAATTTAGAAAAAGCACACGTGGAAATATCATTTTTTAGAACAAAAGTAATAGATTCTGGAAAAGAGGAAAAAATAATTATACAGACAAACAGCACTCCACTCTCAAATAGCCCTGATCTTAATCAAGTGGTTCCTGAAACAAAACCTGTTTCAGATAACCTACAAGGAACAGGAGATTTTGCCCCGCTCAAATGTGAAGATTGTTTAAAGAAGCAAAAAATTATTGAGGAATTTGAAAGTCAGGTTATGAAAACAAATAAAGCCATGGAAGATCTTGCTGAGGAGCACAAGAGGAACATTTACGAAGAGTCTAGCTCCAAAGAGCAAATCCAAAGAAAGTTTCAGGCAGCATTGCTGTCACGCAAAGACTTACTGAAAGAAAACAAAGCACTTAAACATATTGTTGAATCTCTTAATCTTGAAGCAGACGCACTTAAGCATTCTCTTGAAGAAAAGCATGAGTTGGAAATTACCTTACTCACTGATAAAAACAAGGATCTCCTCTCTGAGAACGAAAGACTTTTAGTGGATAATGAGAGTCTTTCTGCAGCTTGTGAAAGCCTTAAATCTACAATGGAGACCATTGTCCAGGAAAAAGAAGCATTTTCTTTTCAACTAAATTCTCTTAAGGATTCACAGACAGTTGAGTTGACAGAATGGAGAGCCAAGCATGGTGAATTAAATAAAGAGTACGAGTCTCTGCTGCAGGCATATGAAAATGTAAGCGATGAAATTGATAAAATGAGGCAAGTCATAGACCTAACAAAAAAAGAAAAGCATGACATTTTAATTAAGATTCATGACCTTCAGAATGAAAATCAAATTTTGTCAAGACAGATTGAGGAGAATGGTGAAGACATTGTCAATCTTAGAACTATGCTGGAATGCAAAGATGCAGAAATAAAGCAACTAAAACAAGAAGCAGATGGTATACCAGTTATAGTGGAGAAGGCATCTCAGTTTGAAGAAATCGCTGAAAAGAATCTGCAACTTCTAGAAGAAAATAGACATTTACAAGAATCTTGTGAAAACCTGAAGTTATGTCTTGAAAATAAGGAAAAAGAAAACAATAGCCTATTTATTATTAAAACCGCCTTGGATAAATTGCAAGTGGACATGAAAATGTACAAGTCTGACATGGAGATTAAAATTTTAGAAATGAGTTCTGAAAATGAAGTGCTGTTGAAGAAAATCACAGATCTAAGCATTAAGCTGGAGGAGGCAGAGCAAAGCCTTGTGAAGGTTGAAGCTGAACGGGACAACCTTCTGAAAAAGATAAGGTCTTCTGAGGATTTGTTTAGTCAAGAGAAGGAAGCCCTCCTGAAATTAGATGGTGACATAAGTAACATGCAGCTCGAAAAAAATGAACCTGGAGGAGAAAGTAAAAATTTTAGAGGATGACAAGGCACTTTTGTTAGATGAGATTGAAAATATACAGGAGCAGTTCTGTACAGTGAAGAATGAAAGAGAAAGTATGGAGACAGAATTACTTAAAGCTGTTAAAAACAACAGTTTGCTCTCTGATAAATTTAAGTCTCTCCAGGCACAAACCAATGTTCTCAGCCAGCAGGTAGAATATCTTAGGAGTGAGAAAAACAATATTATTCGTGAGAGAGAAGAACAGCAGTTACATGTTCTTCGAGACTTAGAAGAGAAAGTGAAATCTGCTCAGGATGATAATAGAGGAACAAAAAGCAAATCAAAAGAATTGCAAGAACTTCTCAGGGAAAAGCAACAAGAGATTAATCATCTTCAACAGGATTCAATAAGATTTCAGGAGTTAATATTAGATCTTGAAGGCACTATTAAGGGATCGAACAGCCAAAATGAAATTCTTAAGAAAGAGCTTGAACATACATCAACTCAGTTAACTCAAGTGAGAAAGGTTCTGTTCCTGAACAAAGAACTCGCAGATAAGGAACGTTCACTAGAACATGTCAATAATCAGATAACCAAACCTGCAGAATTTAGGGAGAGCAATGGTGAATGGACAGTTGATAATCCAGCTCTAAATGTGGACAGAAAAAACATGTCAGCATTAAGTGCAGGCTCTGGTGGAATTGCAAAGTCCCTCAATAATTTAGTTCAGGAAAGCACTCCAAACAGAAATAATCAAGAGTGTGGTGTAGAAGTATACAGTAATGGTGTAAAAAGAGGGGTGAGAGAGCCTGAACCAGTTTCTCAGTCTAGAGCTGAAGCCCTGCCAAAATTAAAACTAGAGCAGGTTTCTCACCAGCAGGTGTCAGAAAGCCCAGGAGATGACTTGAAAGCTTTGCAAATTGTTCTGTCAAATAAAGAAGAAGAATTTCAGCAACTGAAATTAGAATGTGAAAAAATTAGGGCAGATGTCCAAAAACAGGTCATCCTGTCTGAACATATGAAACAAATTATCAATAATAAAGACAAAGAGATATCGTTGTTAATTTCTGCAAAAGATGGCGAAATATCAAGTTACTTAGAAGAAATACAAAGCCAGTATAGGAAGCAAGAAGGAGAGTATGAGCAGCGTTTATCCAGTGTTCAAGCACAGAAGGAAAAGTCTGACATGGAATGTCAGAAGCTAGAAAAACAGCTGCAGAATCTTCAAGTGACTTATGAAAAAGCTGTTCATGATAAACTTTTGTTGTCAAA